TTTATCATAATTTTTAACGCGTATGCAACAATCTATCATCGCAGGATTTTAATTACAGAGAATAGTCCAAAATTAACTTTACAGTTAACTTTCAAAGATTGAAAATTGTTAGTCAAAATAACAGAATCAAAGCAGTGAACTAACAATTGCATATATAAATGTATAGACAGAAGGTATTCCCGTGTTCAAGTTGGCCATTAATTCTCTGGCTCGGGTTCAATTAATTGTGCCGAGTACAGTGTGTTCAACCGACCTGTAGGCTTTGCTGGCTTAATTCATATAACTAACCGCATGACTTAGCACTTGAAAAATGATGTCCGGTTCTTTTTCAGCGTCAACGCGCAGCTGTTTTTCAAAGCACAGTCGTTCTACTAAAAATGTTCATTAAACAAAAACAAATCTCAAACAATTAATTGTTTATGAAAGATTGGATGAAAACAATAATTTTTTCTCGAGTCCTGGGCATGGAAAAGAACGAGCAATGAAACGAGCAGGGTTTTTGAACATGGAAATATAAAGTTAAGTGATGTCGAGGTAAATTTGAGAAAATCGATTATAATGAGGCGGAATTATACATAGAATTCTCTTATTTTTTTCTAGTATGAATGTGTATGAATCAACTCGTGAAACGTCCTTCTTATAAAAATTTTTTATGAGAAATAATACTACTAATCAACATTATTATAATATTCAACTAATGCACAAATACGCACCGCTTTGAACAAGCCCTCTTCCACATGCACCTGGTAAGAGACTTAACGTTTTCCTGTCGTTCATAAGGATTCTATCTGACAGAAAAACTGTTTCGTAAACAACCGTGACAAAATGGCCCATAAAATTGAAGAATCAAGCCGGAAATGTGGCGTGACACTCGATAATGTGTCATGAATTGATCCTCGATGACGACCGTCGAGTTCGACTGAGGGATGCATTGAATCATTGCCGAGGGATGACAAGGAAGATCGCGATAATTAGTTTCAGGAGCGATGTGAGTTATTAAATGACTTGAAATAAATGAATTTGTAGCGTCGTATTGAAATATCAGTCGTAGTGCATTCGAGCATAGCAGAATAGTTTCTAGTGGTATTTTACTTGTACTAGGACGTCTCTAGATTTGTGACTGATTTTATTTCGGGTCACATTGAAATTCTGTCAATGCTAACTCGCTATGGTTGACCACAAAAACGGAACATCAAAAACTGCTTTTTTAGAACCGCTAGCGCAAAAGTGAATTTTTCAAGAAAAGCGACTGGCATATTCATTCGACAAACTGGTTTATATAATATTTCTAAATGCCATTCAATAACAGATTTTGATGCAGATATTTCGTATGAAAATTAGAACCGGTGGACGAAAACTGTCATAAAAATTATAACAACACTGGAGTCTTGGTCGTGAAAATAGAGCTTGCGATCAAAAGTATACTTTGGCCAATAAAAATGGCGACACTGAAGTCAGGAAAGTCAGCTTTACAGTTCTGTGATCAGATAACAACACCTGTCGATAAATGACGATTTTGGCAGACCGAATGGAAGACTGAACGAGAGTGTGGCCCGTTTGGCAGTGAGCGCTGTCGCTATAATTGTGGGATAAAGATTAACGTTGCAGGGGCTGTTGGTCCGAGTCTGAGTAACGGCCCTCATTAGCTAGCGACCACCGCACTCTACAGCTGAAACTCGAAGCATTTTGTCGGGCTCTCGAAAACATCTGCGCAATATGGCTGCAGCAATTCTCAGGGCTCGACTGCTAAACGCCGTTATGGATAGGGCGCTGAGGAGCCTTCCAGTTATTTTACCGGGAATAAATCACATAAGTATTTTTACCAAAGTAATTTCTGGCATGAGTCATGAACGGTCATGAAATTGTGTCTTCTGTTGTTCACACAGTGGAGTATTAGTTTTAATTGCAAAGCAATTAATGTTCTAAGCATGCTGTAACCGATAGCTTATGCTGTTGCTTATTCTAAGAATTAAAATTGTTCCTGGAGATAGAATACAAATTTTCAATCGTATTTAGAATTCTGTGTGGCTGAGGAATTACAAAAGTGATATGTTCATTTAAATTCTATCATTTGACAACTCTGAAAAGTTAAATCTAAATTAAGTAAATAAATTAATCAATTAATTGTATCAATCTATTCAATCTAATTGAAATCAGAGTGTCGATGATTGTGAGCATCTCGAGACTTGAGTCGGGTGGCAAGGGGCAGTTTCTATAGGTTAAATTATGGCTTAATTATGACTTAAACAAATGGATACGGAAACGATCCTGACGAGATTGTTCTTATTTATTGGAGGAGCAAAAATGGTCAAAAAGAAACAAAGTATGACAATATTTCGAATAAACAGTCTGTAATATAATAGTTGACTAATAAAAGTTTATTTTTGTTCACTAATTACTCATTCAACATTCCATTCTTTCATAAATGGAAGGCTCAGTAACTGCAATGCGGAGGACAGGAGATCAATGGAGGTCAATCCTACAAATCGAAATCCAATATTTTTAGAATTCTAAAAACAATGGCAATATTAATCGTGTTATTCTGAGTTCCGAAAAAAAAAAAATTTTCGTGAGTTCTCAAACGAAAAACGAAGACTGACACACGTTTTTTAATAGTTATAATCCACCATGCGTTCAGTATGATTGCAGATGAGCTTATCAGTATTCCTATCCGCATGCAAAAAGTTCCAATAAGCCGAATAAGTTATGTAATGAATATCAACTGTTAAAATATAATAATATTCAGACACGTAACTGTTCTCTTAAATATATTTTTCAATGTATTTCGTTGAATTATGTAACAAATTTGTGACTTGACGCATTATTTTTAAATAGCGACCGTCCAATTTTAACCCCTCTTCAATCATCCACAAAATTTGTTTCTCCTACATTTAATATTAAATGCTACCACGCCGTAGACCAATGCTTCGTCTTGCTAACGTGTGCACTTGGAGATGCTACTTCTAACATTACAATAATGATTTACATTAACTGATTTTCGATCACAGGTTATTACGCGTACTAAATATTTTTTGATTCTTCATTTCGATTGTTCAAATTAGGATTAAGCTTTGTCTTGAAATTTCAATATGAATAAAACATCATATTTTTCTGCGTCAAAAGCAAAATTTTGAAATTTTAATTTTTTTTCTTCTCGGACTATGTATATCAACACAAAAATTTTCCTGGAAATCTGCAAATCGGCAGAAATTTATCATTATAAATGTTAAGCACAATACTCGTTTAGCTCGATTTCACAGTTATAATATGAATAGTATCTTCATAATTGGTGCTAATCAACTATCCATCATCCATTTTTATTTTATGGCTATGAAAAATCAAAGGGACACACTAAATTTATGTTGGTAAAGGTTAAAATTTCTGGGCTTTTAGTGCCTCTATGTTATTATTTGTGAGTCAGATAATAACTACGTTTGTGTTTGTTCTTCTTAACAGTAACCACAAAATTATATCTATCACAGAATTATTTATCCTAGATTCGTTTATTGTCAATGTATGTATTGTCACAATTTCTGAACGACACTGATACCAAAAAATCTAATTCTTCTTCACAACATGGAAGGGGTCCTAATAAACATAAGGATATCTGCACTTTGCTTTTATCAATAGAAAATACCTGTAACGGAATTAAAGATATCTTACTCATTTAATTAAGTGTGATGATTTTGAATAAGGATCGCTTAGTTAACAAGCCATTTAAAATCAAATTATTTCCATAAATAACGATGAAGCCATGAATCATGGACAAATTTATCAACTATCCTCGCAAGAAAAGGCTTATATCCTAAATATAATCATGAACTTCAACAGATATTGCCAAAAATTTTCTTTATTTGGATATCAACTACATTTATTCAACATTGGACACTAATAGTCAATTCTATTTCTTCTTTATATAATTTAAGGTTACTGAAAAATGTTACTGAAGTGTTACTAAGGTTACTGAAAGCAATTTTATTGTACTGTCATCAGCTTTGCGTGAATAGAATTGGGATTTCTAGAATTGACTGTCGAATTCCGTTCATTAGCTGTTTAATTACTCGAAAAACAACATCAGTAGCTGCTTTTACACGACCGATTTTTTTTGCCGTTTTTGATGTTCTGCTAGAACATTGATTGCATGAGTTATTGTGCAGAAGCATTAAAAATTTAATTATGGTCGTTATTTTAAATGGTGATCGTAGTTTCATGACGAATTTGAGCCACGGTCGAAATTTCATGAAAATTTAAATTGATGTTTCATGTTGGTCGTTGAAATGGATGGTCACGAAATTAAATTCGGCCCTGAGAACAAACCAATAGAAACGAAGAACGAACTTGAAGTCCAAATTCTAATATTTAAATGATGATGGAAATCAAAACTCGTTAAGATTTGTAATGCAGATAAGCAGAGTAAAAAATTTGTTAAGTCGTCATTTCCTGCCAATTGCTAAATTCTACCGATTGTCGAGCAATTGTCATGAACTTCGAAGATCGAATCAGGAGACGGGCGATAACTTCTAAACCTGAAATTCGCAGTAAATTTCAGGATTGACTACGAGGAAAAAGTAATCATTACAGTTTATTAAAGTTATATTATATCAGAGAATACCAGTTTTATTCTTGCTGTAAAAATGATTAAGAACACGTTCTATTAATTAAAAATTAATTGCGTGAGCTACATTCGATCGCCAGCGTGGGAACACTGAGTACAAAATTGTTGAAGAATTTCATCTAAATCTACAATCACCTTATTGAAAGATAATAAAGTTTATTCAACTAGAGTACTTGTTATCTCATGATTAACGATTATTGTATTGAGAAATGATTGAATTTTGACGGATCTACTGCTTTACTGTACAGGGAGAGATGAAACCACTATTCAAACTTCTGTTTGACTCATCAACTTTATATACTGCTAAGAGTTTCACGTACTGATATGGGATTGTTCCTTTCCTAAGTATCCGAAGTACTACAAAATTTTTCTATAACATTTAGTTTCAGACATCACTACCTGTCCCGCTAGGGGCTCCTTCCCATTGCACTTTCCCGACAGCGGCCGCCAGTGGTGAATCCCCGACACCACCACCGTAGGTTGAGGGGAGAGACGGGTTAGGCTGCACGTAGTTCAGCTCTGACGGTTCATTAACAGCGTTCGAGGGTGAGAGAGATCGTTGATTTGATGGATTCATAAGCTCATGCGTTCTGCTTTGAGAGGGAGACGATGTCTTGCTGTGTGATGTCGGGCATGCAGCGTGATGCATCAAGTGTCCTGGGGTTTCCGTTACTGAACGCTGGCGATGAAGGGTATTTGATGAAGATGGGAGTTGAGTCGTCGTCTGCGATGGCGGGGGATCGAAGGAACGTTGTCTCGGCAACGTGGCAGAAGACAAAGCCATTTGTGAAAACGTTGATGAAGCTAATGGGTTATACGATGCCACGGGGGAGTTGACGTTGGATCCCGGCTTTGGAGGAGTGGAATTTCCACTGGACTGACGTTGCAATCGAGGCGGAGGAGTAGACGAGGCTAGTCTGTTCTGGTGCTGCAGCAGCTGCTGTTGCGAAGGGGACAAGGGGCGTGAGCAGCACTGAGGGGACCCGCCGCTCGTTGATCTTATTAACGAGGCGTTGGGTTCCGTGCACGGGCACTGACACAGAGCTTTACTGGGCGGCGAGCAGCAGCGAAGTTGGCTCATCGGCGGCGTTAGTTGGACACCACTGAAATCGACTTGATGGGATAGCGGCGAATTCTGTTTATGTGATGAGGGTCTCTGCAATGTATGGAACTGATGATATAGAGGGAGCTGGGTATGGTGCTGGTGATGAGGGTTCACGTGAAAATTGGGATGAGGAAAATGTTTTCCCAGTTGAGAGGTTCCTGAAGATCTTGACTGGCTTTGCTGTTGCTGAGGAATATGAGGGCGACACAGACTTGAGGAAGGGGAGTGCTGGAAGCTGTGCTGTGTGGGGGAGAGTTCAGAACAGGGGGTGGAACAGTACTGGGGTGGAGGGGGGATGTTCGCGGGGATGGTGAACACCCCCGAGCTTCCGCCCCCGCAGCCCCCGGGCACCAGCCCCCCACAGGCGCTCTTGCTCGCAGCCACAACGATCGTCGCTTTAGGCACCGACCCGCCCATCTCATGTGAGATAATAAAAATTTTAAATTATATTATAAAATTATTATCACTGAAATATATAATTATAGATGAATTTTTTTAACTCTGGCAAAGCCTGCAAATGCAAATCAACTGACTTTTACCGTCCAACCAGCGGAAACTGAAATAAAACCGTCGTGTAATAATTTAAGACCAATAATGACGATTAATTTTAAAACGAAGAGCGCGATAAAAGATAGTATATAATCCCATAATTAGCATTCATTTATCAAGAAAACAGTTTACAATTAATAAGTTTATGTACTGAATTAATAAGTTTATGTGAGCACTTGTGAGCAAGTGCCATGAGTTTTGTCATGACTTTCGCTGTGTTCAGTAAATATCTGTCACTCATTTACAAAGATGATCATAAAACCTTAGGAGAAACAGACTCACCATGAATGGATCAGTTTCTTCAGAGCACTGCAGGTCGCTGCCACTGAGCGTGATCTCAGAGTGAGGCGGGGAGTGTGGTGCCCGTGGACTTGAGCCGCCGCTGTCACTCGCTGACGCTGCCATCTTGCTGCTCGTCGCTGACATCAGGATACCTACGTTGTCTAACCCTGAGCACGACTCCAGTTCTGGGGAGTCATAAACTTATGCCACATGAAGAATGCCAGGAAACTTATGCCACATAAAGAATGCCAGGAAACTTATGCCACATAAAGAATGCCATGAAACTTATGCCACATAAAGGATGCCAGGAAACTTATACCACATAAAGAATGCCAGGAAACTCATGCCACATAAAGAATGCCTGGAAATTTATGCTACATAAAGAACCAAATAATAAATTTATAGTTTTAATAATAATAAATACCATGTCTATGATTCTTTGACTCAGGTGATTATTTGATAAATACATATAAATGTAGCTAATTATAATAATCAAATATGAGAGTCCTATGGAGAAAAATACCTAAGATATCGCTGTATATTAAAGAAACAAAATAAAGTCCAATCCAAAGTATTTTCATGCTAAGTTCGTATATCTTGCTGTCGCTAAACTGCCCATTGAACAATTCAACGTTATTTTATGTTTTTAAATAAGCAATCGTCTTTGTGAATTTGAATATTCCGTTGATACCACGACAAACTATTTAAGTGAAAAAATGCATATGTAAAATTTGCATTGATTTAATAACTACATTAGCACATTTTTTATGACCGAAAATCCACAGGAAATTGTTTCCCGTCGCTGACACGATAATTTTCGTTTGTTTTCATAAACGAATTCGACTTTCAGCGCAAAATTTTTTAACGATCAAATTTCACGGTTTTTAATGACGTTGAATTGAATTAACAATGAATTCCACGGATTGTGATCCGATTATTTCAGTTAATGAATATAAATATTTTCCTTTACAATGCAGTCTACTACCGCACAATAAATTTGTGAAGTTATATCATCATTGGTGCATGCACTGATTTTAATGATTTTAAAGGCAAATAACACCATTATTCGTCCATACAATTAACGCATACTATACGAATTTAAACTATAACTTTATTAACTACCATCTTCGTTCGCGAAGCGAGCAAAAGGCCAAATGCACACCAATTGTGTCGCTGAATTTGTAGCTGTTATTCAATTGTTTATGGCCAAATATTTATTCATCAAATAAATAAGGTTCGCAGAATGAAATTTTATTGCTGAAATAATTTTAAAAAGCAATTGATGTACCAACGTCAAGCAAAAAATTACGAGAAAGTTCAGAAATATACAGGCATAACATTTGTATTCCTTTTGTTATCGGTTTTCGTATATTTGTTATCATTATTCGTATAATTGTTATCGTTATTAGTATATTTGTTTATAATTATTCGTATATTCTATTACGTATATATGTTATCATTATTCGTATATTTGTTAGCGTTATTCCTTTATTTTTTATCATTATTCACATATTTGTTATCGTTATTCGTATATTTGTTATAGTTATTCGTATATTTATTATCGCTGTTCATTTATATTGTTTTTTTTTTATCGTTCCATAATTTGTAAAAAGTAGCTCAGCTCCTGACGGCCGTAACATGTTAGTTTAGTTTGTTGTCATTGATACTCTGTTCTTGATTTGGTCAAACATTTGATTGAAGGCCAGAAGTGGTGGCTCACACATTTCAATGAGATAAAAACTTATTCAAAAAATAATTAATTTAGAAAAATATCATTCTGCATGTTACGGCAGATAATTATTCTACTTTAAATTATTAATGAAGTTAATTATGACCTTAATATAGTTAATTACGGCTTTTGAAATTAATAGCTGGTCCTTCATTCCAGTAACCTATTTTTACAACTACTGAAATATCGTGTTCAGACTTAAGCTCAATTACTCTGGAACAATGAACTTTTTAGAACAGGAGAATGCACCAAGCTGTTCAAAAGACTGCGACGGAGGGCCACAGTAATTATAATAGGAGCGCACTTAGGTAATGAGGTCGCAAAGCATACCTAAAGGCTGGGGCTTCTATGTTGAAAGGTACTTTTGTGAGACATGTTTTTTTATGGATAGTTTGGGGAGACTAAGGTTATTTACACAAGGAACAACTTAATAAGGGAAACTCATTTATATTTTACTTTACTCAAACACGTGGGTGTTTGAGTAAAACATATATATTTTATATTTCTATCTTTTTTATATTTTTAAAATCTCCATTATGTTTAAATATCATATTTTTAAGCTAAACTACTTCACAATATTGATTTGTTAACTGTTTTATGCCCAAATACATTTTTTAGCTCAATTTACAACAATAATGATTGGTAAGTATATAGTCGCAACCGTTCTGTTTTACATTAACTGTATAATTTTAGATGAAAGGGGTAACTTTAAACATAATGTTCGTTTCTTCTGCTGTGCTTATCTAGTTTTATTTCAATAAATAACTGATTCTAGTAAGTTTTAATTTTATTCCCGTTTCAAAATTAGGTGAAAGTTTGACTTCCCTTCAATTAGTTTGGTAAGAGATCAAGGTCAATTAAAATCAAAACATCCGTACTTTGCACGCAAGTTTTATAGGGGAACAATAATTGTTTACATTAAAATAGTTTTTTCATTTCATGCAAGTCCACGCAATAGAGAAAGAGAAGCATTAATTTTATCTTTACTGAAATGTTTTCACTGAAGATAAATTAAATATACTTGACATTTAATCTTTTAATCAGCTTTAAGGCACGGAGGTTCGTCAGATCTTATCTCACCTTGTCCAGTAACCAAATCTGGCGCACGTCGCCTGATGACGTAGCATTTCTGCCTGACGAAGATGACGGCCGTCATGACGATGGCGAGCAACACGCCCACGGCCCCCGCAACCGCTCCCGCCAGACGACTCATGCCCCCCAGGTCACCCAGCGTCCGGTCGTCACCCGCTGCTGCTCCGTACCCGTCGGTGCTGCCTGAGCCCCCGTGGGGGTCCGAGTCTAGGGTGCTCGGCACTCCCGAAACTTCGAGGGTAATTAATATTCAATGAGTTCAAAGGTTATAATTACAGTTTAAATGTAAACGAGCACTGACAGTATTGAAAAATTAATGATTAACGGGAAATGCTTTTTAGCGCATTTTCTCATTTTTGGAAAAAATGCCCTATTGTGCTCGTCATTCCGTCCGTCTGTCCGTGACTTCATGTTTTCGTCTTCGAGAGAATGCGCTCACTGTCACTCACTGCAGTGAGTACTGAGTACTCACAGCAGCTGTTGCTGCATGCACTTTATTGTGTAAACGGAAAAAAGCTGCATCAGAATAATCGATGAATTAAAACGAAATAAGAACAAATGAAAGTTAGTAATAACAATATCTATAAACAAAACACGGCAATATAATTCACAGCTATTTAAGTTTGAAAATGAATAAACATTGAATAACCGATAAAATCATTTGTTTGTTTTTATTAGCATGATTATTTCGCCATCTCGTTCCCGAAGCTATCGGTGCCACCAGTCAATAAATAAGCGATGACGCTTTCGGTCAGAAACAATGCCATCAAGCAAAAAAGTTATCACACATATTATAGCATTAATAAACCACTTCATACATATAATATTATCAAGCATATACGAGGAAAAAGCAACCAATTCAGGTCGCTAGATTAAATGCGGCATCTGTCGTTGTGCTGTCAGCAAATTGGCTAGTAAAGAAACCCATCAAAGAAACGAGGAAGAATTCTGAAACATTGAATACTATTTAATTGAAATACCTTATATGTAGGAAGACATATAAAATGTTTTATAAATAGTTATCACAGCTGTGAACGTCCTTAATAAGATTAAAACAACAAGCTCACTGACGTCGCTACAGTCAAGAGACTGCAGAGCATCTTCGTATGTTCTCAAGTAGATATTCAACTTAATGGGATTAATGGGATTAATGGGATTAATGGGTGATTAATGATTGTCTAACATTAATGGGATTAATTAGGCAATCACGAGCAGATATTCCCTGGTGCAGATTGTTATATCCAGTCTTTAAGGTATGAGAACATTTGTATTTTATTGCATATCATGCCTTCACTTAAATTCATGAACGAATGATATGTAGGTTAATGTCATAACAATTCTAATCCAGCCAATTTTAGTTAATTAATTCACTCTGAATTGTTTAATATTATTTTTCAAGTTTGAATGAATTGATTAAGATTTTAGTTCTATTATTTATTGTAGCTTAAAAGTGTAGAAATTTTATTTGAGTTGGACTTCTTCGATCCAACTCATATTGCGTTGCCTTATGATTATACGATTACAAGAAAATTGTACATGATTTATTATTTAGAATAGCTAGGCATTGGAGACACGCGTTCAATTTCTCCTTTTATTGTTAGCTAGGTCAGTTTTCAATTCATCCACAATAAAGCACCATCATACCAGAAAATGCATAATAGATAACTTAAATGCATCAAGACAGAACAGTTAGTCTAATTTTGAAAAAGCATTACCTGTCTCATTGCAAAATTAACCATTAGTCCCTCTCACCACAACTAAAATGATAAGCTCGTCCTAAAAAGTAAATTAGATCCGTATGCATGCTACACTATTTGATGGCTGTCAAACCCATAATTCTCTTCCGTATTTTGAAGAGGAAACTCGCTTGCCAATCCCAAAACTAATCAGGAAACAAATTGGCTTGGGAAAAAACATTGCGGATATACGAAGTATTGGTTCGAATGATCTCAGCTCAGCTTTATATATGTCATCGATGTTGAAATCAAAATTATGTTTTGCAAATTTTGAATAAAAAATTTTCTGCTTCGAGTATTGAAGTGCAAAATGCTTGCTGGAACGAAATGTAAATGAGATGAATTCCTCGAGTTGTGGCTTATTGTAAAGATCATATAATTTGAATAGCTTCACTTTTGTGTTATTAACACAAACTGGTTATTTTTTATACTGTAAATACCAATATTTTATGCTGCCTCTTTTATAATAAACTGTAATATTTGAGAGTAGGTTGCGCAGTTATATATGGCTGCTGGCTTTTTTTCTTACGCAGCAGGGTCTCTCACTCACTCGCTTGAGTTACTCACCCACAGTGCAGCATGTATCCCTGTTCCACACAACAGCGTCATGAGTCACTCGATCAACCCTGCTGCAGAATCACTCTGCCACTCCCGTTGTAGAATCACAAGTAACTTACGCTGCTTGAATCACCCATTTCTTCGGCTGAGTCGCGAGTTACTCAACCACGCTATAGAATCACCCTCTCCCACTGCAGAGTCACGAGTCACTCACGCTGCTTCTGTTACTCACTAACGCTGCAGAGTCGAGAGTTCCTTACCCACAATGCAGAATCAAACCCTCCCCCCTTCAGCAGATCCGGCACTCACTCATTCTGTTCTCGGCGACTTTAAGCGTGTATGCCTGCAGGGACACGGGGGGCGACGTGCCCTTCCTGTTGACGGCGGAGATGGTGACGGTGTAGTCCTCGCCGGGGGCCAGACCCTCGATGGTGAAGCCTGGCGTGAAGCTGTCGCGCTGGCGAACAGCGCGCCCCGACCCGGCCAGGAACACTTCGGCTCTGGGGACCAATGTCCAACATTTCGTAAGTTTGGTGAAATAATACTCTTCGAATCAAATTTTTTTCATTACATTCGAGGATTAACGAGTATGAAGGACAATGCACCAACAATTTGGAATTCACCAGTGCCAAAGAATACCTCGAGGAAAAACTCGGCTCTGAGAAGGGGGGAGGGGGGGGGGGAGCAGCGTCCAGCGATACTGTATATCATAAGTTTGGCGATGCAACATTCTTGAAAATTCAACTTTAAAGTTCACTTGGAAACGATATGTTACAAAAAGAAACACCCCGGCTGCAAGCGCTCGCGTCCAATAACATTTCTTAAGCAACACTTTTAAAATTTTATTTTGAATTATAAGGTATAACATTGAGGGTTATGAAGTGTAGTTCACTAAAAATAAGTTAAAGTTAAAGTTAATCACGTGGAACTCTGATGGATAAATTTTCTTTGGTCGATTGCATCATAAGGAATTTCGATACAATCATTAATAATATAGCTTATAGATTGCGCGTAACTTAGGTTAATAGTGAATTTAATACAGTATGAAAAATGAAGTGTCTTGGAATTATATAAAATTAAGAGATTTTTAATTTTTTTTCGAAGAATCATCCTTTTAAATCATCCCTCTTTCGAAGAATCATCCTTTTTTAAATAGAAATAGAAATTTAGCATTTATTTTTAGGTTGAATTTAATTTAATTCAACATTAATTTAATTTAGCTCAACTTAATAATGAATCGCAATTTTTCGTAAAAATAACGATAAGGATTGTGATAATTCTTAATTGACAAATTGTCTTGCTAACAACTAATTCAAAACTTTTAATTTTTAAATTAAAATCTAATATATTTTGAATACATTTCACTCAATTTATTATAATTAAATATTAACAATAGTTGTATTAGCTTGGACGTTGTCGGTGAGCGCACCTGAATGTTTGAGTTAGCCCTCGAACGCACCTGAATGTTTGAGTTAGCCCTCGGACGCACCTGAATGTTTGAGTTTCCCTCAGACGCACCTGAATGTTTGAGTTAGCCCTCGGACGCACCTGAATGTTTGAGTTAGCCCTCGGACGCACCTGAATGTTTGAGTTAGCCCTCCATCAGCGCCGGGCTTGCAGGTGATGTGCAGGGAGCCCGCTGACTGGTTCGTCAGCACGCAGTCCTCGACACTGTCAGGCGCGCCTGAGGCATCCACATGATTACGAATTAAGAGCATTAAATGAATAATTTCCTGCGTGATTTGTGAGTATTATAATATTATTTAACTGAAAAATATTAAACAGCTGTAGAAGGCAGTTGTCTTTTAATTTTAATATAATAGAAACTATTGTTATAAGTGATACTCATTAACAACAGTCCTTGGATATATGAAAACTTTACCTTTAAAATCAATTTAGCTGACTGTTCATTTTTACTAATGAAAAAAAAAATTTACAGCATATAGTGCATTATAAGTATTATAAAACTGTTAAAAATAGGTAATAAAAATATTTATTTGTGAAGGCAGCTCTGGTCACCGGCAGGCTGCAGGGTGAAGGCACAAGGGTCCAGCTGGGACGCCACGACGTTGGCCGCCCAGCAAAAGACGGTCCCGTAGTCACGCGCTGAGTACGCGACGTACTTGAGACGCGACGTCGAGCCTTCCACCGTGTACTGTCACGAGGTACCGAGTGGACAATGAGTGTTACGTTGCGCGTTTACTCAGCATCTCATGTTCTGTTTCTTTAATTTGTTAAATAATAGTTATAATTTACGTTCTTCTATTAAAGAGAAACTTATTGTGAACTGCTGCACAATAGTAAGACATTGGAGAACCAGTTCGATAAACTTCTTGATCGCTGCGAGCATAATTTGTTAATTCAGTTATAAGTAGATTGGGCTTCTCAAGCCAATCCAACAAAGTTAAGTGAAGAGAAAAAAGGGTTATATTGAGAAGAGTAAACCAGGAACCTTAATCTCAATTGTTTGTTCGAGTTGGCAAAAATACTAGTAGTATCTCAGACTCTAGCCTGCATTCATACTTGATCTAAAAGCAACTGAAATATGTATAACATTATCTATTGAAAGTATAGTCGCACTCTGCACAGCCTCCTGGTACATTGAGAAAACGGCACCAACAAATATTTACTTATCATGAATCTTTCGAAAATATAAAGCTTGAATTTAGATGCAAGCCGTTCTCAATGTTAGCAAAATAATTTGCAGATCCAAACACTCCAAGATATATTGATAATGGTTGGAAATTTATTCCGCTTCAGCTAAAGAAGCGGAATACTGAATCCTATTTGACAGAAATCCTGAATTTATCATGCCCGTTGAAAGTTAATACACCACGACTGGTATCTGTGTAAATAATATGATCATAATTTCAAAGAGACTGTTTACGTCGGGAAATAAGAACGTTATTCACTGCCGACGCCACCGCAAGCAAATTTGAGAAATTATCATCCCGGAAAGCGAGAAGAAGAATCTCATAAAATTGCTATTTTGTGTGGCAGCAGCTCGATTAGCAAAGCAGCTTTTGGCGCCAATATCCCTCGCGGGGACGTAAAATTCCAATAAGAAAGAGGCGACAATGCGAGGAATTCAAGAGAAGCAAGGCTTCTAAGACGTGAACGCGATTTTTATTCAAGTGACAGTACCTCATTTTCCCGAAAACGCGTTGAATCCACAGTGTTATTAAAGAGCCAGAAGAACGTCACATTGTTGGGGTTGGCATCAACGTTGCACTGAAGCTCGACCGTCTCACCCTCGATCGCTGTCACCGTCTGTCTCTCTTGCGTGCAGACGGGACCATCTAGGAAGCAACACGAGAAACTCAGTGCGCAGGAATAGGACCTCTGAGCTCGTGTGGCCGGTCATTTCGGCCGACAACCTTTGCGACTCGCTGTCAAGATAAGACCGCCGCCATACTATTAATTAAGCGATCGCGGTCTTACGACGGCATACGAAAGCGAGCCTGTGACTGGGTAAGCAAGCGAGCTAGGATGCCTATGATTATTTTGGCGATGGAATAGCGATGGAATGGCAATGGAAGAAGTGATACCACTACTTTTCGCTGTACTATTACTGTCTACTTTTGTTGACATTGTACAGATTTCGACGTGAACTTCTAGGTAAAATGAAAGTATCCAGTGATCGATCAAAAAGCTGGTAAAACGAATTTGTTCTGACTGAAAATAATTATGACAATATCTTTTATAATTTTTTGCTTACTCAATTTGGAACACATTGGAGAAATTTTAATTATTCGAAGAAAGTGTGTTCAAATATTTTAAAAAGAGTAATGAAAAAATTGAATTAACTAAACCGATGAAACAATGTACCTATAAAGACTATTTATCACAATTGATCATAAGGACATATTTATCACAATGATCATAAGGAGGCCCTTGGGAATTTGCACTAATGACTATAAACTTGAAGTATTTAAAAAACTCCTTCAAAAAATGCTCCGCATTGAAATTCGAAATAAAGAAACACGTGTGAGTGTTTGAAGAATCCATGTCATCAAGTTAAGTTGATTTGGTTCATTAATTCCGATATTAAAAAGTTTCACCACGTGCTTGCGTCCTTGCTTACTTCATTCCTCGGTTATATTGCGTTTATGACAAAAACACTCGTTAAGAGATTGGTTTCAATCATCTAAACGTGATAATAGGCATAAAAACGAAGCAATCATTTTCCACCGCTGTTTTAGTACAAAAAATGCGTTAATGCTTCATGTTTAACGTGCATATAAAAGTTATCCAATGAAGACGAGTAAAGAAATTAAGAAAACAATTTTAGAAATAGAAAAAAATTTACTTAAAAAAATTCAATTTATAAAGTGATAAAGTGATTAACTATGTGACGCAGTGACACAGTTGACACAGTTGATAAGCTCGTCTTGCGATAAGCTCGTCTTGTGAAAACTGGTCTTGCGATAAGCTAGTCTTGTGATAAGCTCGTCTTGTGATAAGCTCGTCTTACGATAAGCTCGTCTTGTGATAAGCTAGTTTGAGTCAATGTTACCCACACATAACACTGAGTGCGACAGGATTGCTCTCTGTTGTAGCGACTGCATTTGTAGCCTTGCAGCTGTAGTTGCCACCATGCGCTCGCTGCACTCGCTGCAGCACCAAGTTGTTGCCATTCACAAGCACTCCAGCATCGCTGCGCTGCCACACTTCCTTTTTCTGGACGTAAAAATTGAAACTCAAAGTAAGAACTTACATCGATTATTTTGTGGGATCATAGAATTCGTTGAATCTCTTTATAATTCAGGAAGATTCTTTAGGGTACTCTGAAAAAATCTCATTGATAATTCATTATCCATCGTGCATATTGCAAAATAAATGAAAAAATTACAACGCGCATTATTCACTAAAAAAATTAATTGATCATATTGTCTAAATAGCGACACACTATCTGCTCGTAGCGCTGATACGTCGCTTTAAAGGGTCATACTACGTCTGAATGATCTACACAATTGAAACAAATGCATCGCTTTTTGGGAAAAGTCTCACTCATTTATTTCAGGGCCATTTTCTATATATATTGTATGTTTCATTGGTGCCTCTGTAACAAAAATATATAAGTCATTGTTATTTTTACATGCATAACAACTGAATGGCGTTGCTACAATGAGTCTATTTCACACCTCTTTGAACCAAGTTATTTTCTGGACAGGCGGGTTCGCTGTGGTGAGGCAGTCGAAGTAAACATCCCCGCCCTGTCGGATGTTGTCCGGACTCAAGTTAGAGCCAAGCTTCAGTTCCACAACAGGAGCGTCTGCAATTAACAATACAGAGCATGAGTATGTCAGTAAATTGATTGGCTTTGCAATGGATTTAATTAGGATAATAGAAGAGAATAAGCATAATATCTGCGAGGAAATAAAAATTAAAGCAGTGAAGTAACTAAGTGATATTGAGGAATATTATGTGTGTCCAGTTTGTCTCACACGAATTGTGATCAAACTACGCCTCGTGGTTTGCAGTCATATACACGATTCAATTATTTTAGCAAGTATTTTAATTTCTAATTCCAATGTCCTTTAATTTCCGTTTTAGTCTTCAACTTTTACCCGATTGATTTAATAAGTTAAGGAGGCAGCAGGCAGTGTTTATTAAACATCACGTTCCTCCAAGTTATTATAAAAAGTTCGCTCTTCCATAGGTTGCAAATTTGCATTGAAATATAGAAAACCAATGCATGCAGCCTTCAGATAACAGTCGAGTTTAATGTTTTTCATTTCATTTAACAATCAGCATACTTATTTAGCTCCCGGTACGTTTCATTATATACTGAGAACAGATGCCGACAAACAATCGAAATCCATAATTCGTGATTAAATGACTGACTCAGACAATGAAATTCATCTATGAGTACAATCGATCAAAAGCCACAATTTTATGGTGCATGTGAAATGAATGATTCATTTATTCACTTATTTATGTAGATGCAATTTAAGCACCGGATTCATTTCCTGACTCATGATGTTCGTTGGAGAATGAAATGAAGCCAGTGAATAATGAATTAAAGCAAGGGCATGATGATATCTCACAATGATACGACAAAGTTCTCTCAAATTAACGCCCACGGGAGGAGATATCCCTAATTAACTTTGACTCAATCGGTCAACGAGGCCCTAAGTGAACTTAATTACGTAGTGGTTATAATTAACGGATCCACGAACAGCCATTAAAGTCTCTTTGAATAACGAGGCGTCCGGTATCATCAACTTTAAAGGAATCGATAAAAAGAAGAATGACATATCTGGGAAAGTGCAGGAGCCTTCAACCTGAAGCGTTGCTTTTGTGCAAGGGATCTCATGCAGCAGACGCTACATTTTGTTTTAGGGATAGTAGTGCGCGCAGAAAGAAGTCTTTGTGAGGGAGAACAATAGTGGCAGTCGGCTTCGTCTCAACCTATAATGAGGTGATACATCAGCACGTAGTTTGATGGCACGCGAACTGTACCGCTTTAATATCCTGTACTTTATTTTATAAAATTCAATTAAAAACGAGCAGTGATAAGACTTGGACATGACCGGCCAAGTGTCAGTCTTAGTTTAAATTTTTTCCGTGATTTAAAATCAGAAATTCGGTATTTTTTCTTGAAATGTTAGGACATCTTCTTGATGCATTGACTGCTACGGCAAAGATTTTCCAATTTTAAATAGAGCGTCGTAAAAAACACGGTTGTTTTAAATTGGCAAAATTTGGAAGAAATAAGCGAGATAACTAATCGTATGTTTGATTTGCCAATTGATTAGGCCTGATTCAAGACCTAAGAATGAATTTTGTTTGTCATTTTCTTACTTGTTTTTTTTTAGAATTCGATATTTTTCATTAGTGTAGGCAAATCGGCAATCAGTTTGCCGAAGAATTTTTTGGTAACCTGTTGAGAGAACAGATTCTGTCATCCTATACTGTTGTCCAATTAAATGGATGTCGTATAATGGAATTACAGAAAAAATTGTTTGAACTTAACCTTAATCATTCGCTAAAGGATTAAACGTGTAGGAGTGACAGGGATACTCACACCACATAGCGCATGCAATGCTGAGCGTAAAATTATGTCCATGCAGAAATTTTCAGACAGTGAGCGACTAATTATATCGCGACAGAAATCCTAAGAATGTGATGAGAGAGCAGAAGTGAGGGAGACGATAGACCGTAGAGCTAAAGTATCACTTGAGCCGCTGCCAATCCATGGTAGGTTAAGTACATGATTCATCACAAGTATGCCTACGGGGTTATCAAGCCCTGTGATCTATACACGTCCGGAGGTGAGTGGCTAAATTAGTTAACTCACGCAACCTCAGCAGCGAGCGTCCGTGAGTTATAAAGGCTATAAACGTCAAACTCCATTGATCTAAATCACATGCAATACTACAGTGCATTGAAAGATGGCCACTTTAGAGGGGTGGGTCTGGGCAATTTTGCGTGTCCAGTAAATCTGGGAAATCAATCACGCTGCATGGCTTCCTACGAAATTCCGTTCATATTATCGCACATTGCGACCGCAGTCGGTCGCAAAACTTGTTTAAATTGAGCGTAATAATTGGAACTTGGACTATGCAACGTAATTTTTTCATTTGATTGTAAAACTGACACGCTGTAAAAAACCAAAAAAAGAAAAAAAGCGGAGAAAAAAAATGAAATCAGTTTATAACCTCGTTTACTTGTTGTTTGTCGAATGCAAGGGATTAATAATTTAACGATTTCAGCGTATTTTCTGCCGGAGGCAATTTTTTAGAATCAATATGTATTATAAAATTTAATTAGCCTTATTTTTACTGCAGCGGCCTTTATTTTAGTGTTGCCATTTGTGAGCTCTTGCTGGGAATGTATCATTTTTAGTCTATTAATAACTATTGAATAAAAGTCGTATTTCGCAACTAAAATGCTCGTAAATTACAGCCAGTATAAATTTGTTGAATTCTCCGACAAACAAAGGATTCCAGTTATCTTATAGCACCGATACGCGAGAACGTCATCCTCAAACCTTCCCTTTCAAGCCGGTGTCTAATGCAGATATAACAATCTGATGACAAAATGAAATCGATAGGAGCTTTTAAGGATAACATAAGTAAGAAAGTATGTATTATAATGATTAACCCATACGTTCGTTGCAGAGTGAACCTAAACAAGCTTATGTGTAGGTACCTGACTTGACCAAACATGAATGTGAGATTTGGAGTTTTTCCGACATATCATTGAATTTTTTTTTCATCCTACTGAGAGATTGCCCTAGTAATGCATCAAATAAAAACACACATAACAAAATAATCAATATAGTTCGACATTATGCACCTTTAACTAATAAACATTAAAAAAATAAAGAACATCACAGAACACATCAGAAAAAAATAAATAACATCACGACAACGCTCCCTGAGCTTTTCTCAGATAATCATGTGTACTTAAGGCACATGATAGAAATAGGTCACATCAAAATATATTACGAACAATACCAAATTAAACGATCGTATACATATCTGAATTTAACTCACAAAAGGAATCCAATCCTGCGACAAAATGAGAATTAGATTACCAATAAACAGTTTTGCTTAGCGCAAGAAATAATCTTATGAGTAGGTTTGCGGCAGCGAATGCGACATTGCGACGCAATTGCTCGGCCAAGTCTTGTTGCGGTAAGAATGTGGCTGAACATCAATAGGGAAATGCTGCGTAATTGAAAAGCTTTGAACTACAGCTGGATGACTTGAAAGGAATTTCGCCGAGCCAAAAGAGCCATTTCATCATTGAATACGCGTAATTAAAGAGCATTAAAATGAAAAAATTCAAACGCGATAAACGGAAATTAAAATGAAGCGTCAAATTTCTAGAAAGTATTTCCATTTAGTGGTCGGAAAACTCAACGAGGCCGTGTCCCGCGTGGACTATAATGTACTTTCACGCTAATTTAATCCTGTAAAAAGCATCTACCTGAAAATTGGCCGTTATTCTGCAATGCTCGGTCATAAGACAGCGCTTGATGCTGTGTAAAGCTCCTTACTAGATGCACTATATTGGTGCCTATTGAACTCGCATACCTTTTTGAATAGAGAATTATGCACAATTAAATAATTACCAATTAATTTATGAAGACAGAAATTACTGGATAAAAATGACGGTATTAAAACGCAAGAAGTAATTAATTAAGACTTAAAAAAAATTCTAACCCTAAGCTCGGTATGATTTTCACCTCATAAAATTACAAAGTTTATCATATATTGAGCAAGCTGCTGCGGAAAGGCAACAAGATAATATTACAGAACATGAACAGCTATTCATGTTGCTATATTAATTGTTAAAAATATTAAAATAACGCAATATTTAGTTAGTGAAACCATTTCTGAAAGTTGGCTCTTCCCATCCAAAGCATGAACACTTTTGTTTTCTATGCGAAGTTTGACGAGATTTAACTCGGAAGACCGTTTGTCAAAAGTTCTGAAATTTATTATACTTATGCCTCGTGAAGCTTACTGTACTAATAATAGAATAGGCTCAACATCTGTTTTCCAAGATAAAAGTTAAGTATTTGTACATAATACTTCAGATACAAAAAATTAACTATACATGATTAATCCACGAGATTAGCTACAGCGTTGCAATGTTATTATCGTCAAGAGAATATAAAAATTTGATATCTCATGAGTAAAATGTTCTATTTTTAATAAACTTTGCTTTACAACTGCACCTACCTTCATAATTAAAATAAGTGAACAATTTTTATCAATCTACTGCCTAAGAATTCTTGACATAAGGAAATTTTAATCAATTAGCCCTCGCAAAACGATTTAAATGATTCAAATTTGTCCCATTTACTTAGAATTCCGAACATTATGCAAGTTTTATCCAGCGATAAAGCCCCGAAGTTCAAGAAAAATCTTATCTTTCTCGATCGTTGAAGAAAGATGTAAACGCTGAGATTTTCTGACTCCCACGGAAGGTTCGCACGTTTGGATAAATTATTTTTTATCGCTTTATTCGCTATCGTTTTTATCGCTGAAGCCGTCGTCCCACGATGCAATATCATGGCAGTATTTTCTCTAGACTCTGATTTTACTAGCAATATCGTTAGTTATGATCATAATACATTAACGGTATCACAAACTTGAACTGTTTGGAAATTAAAATTAAAATTTGGTGTCAGTTTCGTTATGTTTTGTTGTACTCAAACTTTGATATTCAAAATTAACAGCGAATCTGTTGACACTAAAACTTTAATGAAGCTGAGGCTTTAATCCACTTCCACAAATTGACCCACTAGGATTGAATTAGCAAAAATATTAATTTGGAGCAGGTGCAGGATTTGGCCCTGAGTGTTTGAGTGTTTTATATTGACTTAATAAGTTGCAAGCAGATCCTGATTAATGAGAAAAGTAAGTATCGAAATTTGTGAGATATATGAAGTTCGGTCCGGCAAGATTTTTGCCAAAGTGATAATAATTAGAGTTATATTAGAAAAGCAGAAGAAGTTTGACGACAGCAAAAAAAATTTCAGACAATATAAAATTCAATATTTTACGATCAAACATAACTTGACACTCGGGAAAAAGAAAGCACCGCTAAAAACATCGCTGATCGCAAATATTCAAACAAAGTTTGAAAAGATGTTGGGAAACAAGTAATTAGATTTATGAAAACAGTATAAGCCCGACACTAATGATAGTGATAGATTTAAACTTATTACGAAAAAGATTTAAAAAATGCCAAAAAGATAACAGGAACATAACACCATCGTAACACACTAATAAAAGAAAGTATTTAATGCCGTTTTTTACAGATATGCCAATAGTGAAGCAACATACAGACAACACCATGATCACTACGTGACACACTCGTACTACTAAGAACAAGACTGAGAGTGACAGAAACTCAAATAAAAACATAAGTGGCACGATAATACAAGTCTTCAACATAAAGTTGTGCTCAGGCTGGGGGGTGAAATATATTCATACCCGAACTCTTAAAGTCAATGATAAAAATAATAAGAACAAGACAAGCTACTCCGAGTATGAACGCGTTCAAGAACAGACTAGACAAGGCCATGCATGAGCATATGTTCAGTCTTAAAATGCCTCGTACCCTACGGAACAACTGATATCTAGAAGCGATTTTAAATCTACCGTCCGTAAGGCCAGTCTAGTTAAGAAAAGTACAAGAATCGGCGACAGGTCTATCCAGGCCTATTTATTTAATGCCGAAGATACTATACTATACTATACTATACTATACTATACTATACTATACTATACTATACTATACTATACTATACTATACTATACTATACTATACTATACTACTCACGCGTGACGTTGAGAGTGACGGTGCTGGAGACGGGCGCGTCAGTGAGCGTGCGTGACGCCGCCGTGCACGTCAACTGCGCGCCGTTGTGCTCAGGACGCGGGATGACCTGCACACTCGACATGGTGTCCTCGCCCTCCTGCACCAGCACCTGGGGGTCATGGGGTCAATTATGTTAAAAACTCATTTCAAACTGACACTTCTTCCTGCACAAGCACCTGGGGGGCACGGGGTTAATTACGATAAAGGCTCAAATCAAACTGATACGTTTCATCTGCACAAGCACCTGATGGTTATGGGGTCAATTACGATGAAAATTCAACTCAAACTGACACGTTCTTCTTGCACCAGCACCTGGGGGGTCATCGGATCAGTTACGCTAAAAATTCAGCCCCAATCTCAATAAAAATCTCAGCCCCAATACAGAGGTAACATTATTTTGAGTGCTGATGCTCTTATTTTTCAGGCAGAAGACGTTACTTTAAGATAAAACCTATGTCATAACCTTGCTTCTGGAAATATTCACTGCCTGATATGATATGTTATAATAAAGGCGAGTATCGCGCCACGCGAGTCTAAATTCATATTCCTACACAAGGAGTCTTTAGAATCAATCTCAACTATTCATGTATTGTAATTTCGTTAATATTTAGACTATGTTAGGCGCTCGCGTTGTATTACCTCACAAACGATTTGCGACTTCTTGCTTAGAGATAACTATGATAGAATGGGTTGACGGTTAGTAATACGTTTATAATTGTCACAAACATCAAACTGAATTATATTGGCTTCTATTGTACGAAAAGAAACTTCAAAATTATTTTATTTTATTGATGCAGAGCAACAGAGGCTTTACTGAAGACCTGAAATGTATAACTGACTATATTTTTAAATTAAAAATGAGAATTGATAGACTATAGGATCGATATACTTATTTTTATTAAAGCTTGAAAATATCCTCAGTATGATAATTTACAAATGATTGCTTTTACTTTCAATGTGCGACTGAGAGGGCAAAATTTTGCTTAGTTTTCCAATGCTAGAAAGGATTTTGAAAACAAGTATTTATTTATTGTCAAGACCTGGGATCATTTTTGCATGAGGATCCCAAGTCAAAATTAATCCAATTTTAGAATCTCTTGTCAGATCATGGAAGTAAAATCATTACATCGGCTTTATATTATAATTCTAGCTATTTTTGAACAAGAAATGGCAGTTCTGGGACGGCAAAGTTTACAAAATGCTACAAGTAACATCGAGCGAGTTGGTTGGGCACAAAAATCAGCAAGCAAATCGTTCCGTAGAGGAGCATTTCTTAGAAAAAGCATCTGCTTGTAAAATCCTGGCAGCGCGATGTCTGCTGGCGCGCTATCGCGGAGTCCAAATGAAAGCCCGAGAGCCGCAATTGCTCAGAGACGAGGCGTTCTCTCGGGACTCTAATCGACAAAACACGGGCATAAAAACACGCTACCAAGACCGCTACTAGTGATATTACTGTCAGGCAATCTGGAATATAATAAATATGACGCGAGCAACCGAGGCGGAGCTTATGCCATGCTCAGATTATTCTAAGAATATTATTATTCGGTTAGCAAAATGTCAAGATGGGATATGTTAGCGTGAAAAAGTACATAATCAACGGAATATCAAGACTGGTCTCCAACCACACCGAGAAAAACAGAAAATAAGTGATTTCCGCTGGATTGATATGAAAAATATCAGAAACCTTTCTGCGTTTCGGAAAGTATAAATATCCTAGTCGAGTGAGAATAACTCGGTGCTTACAGTGAAAGCGTTGCATTGGCTTCTTTTTGCATGATATTTAGAGTAAAAATATTTTACCTTGCCTTGTGTAAAATGGCGGTAAATAGAATTGCAATATCTTTAATATTTTTGGAAACAAAGTTTGTGAAATTTTATTTGTATGTTAATTAAATATTTTAACTTTGCCAATAGGATCGCTTTTCATTAATATTGAATATATTGACCAGAATTTCCACAGATATTTGCTGTGAACATTCTCCAGACCGCGATTTTTGCACATACCAATTATGCCTGGACGTACGTGCATGTTCTCAGTGTTAAAATTCTTCATTATACATCACGAAATTTTTGGGAATGAAATACAAAGAAATGCTGTGGTATTTGCTGATACGTGACGTTATTATCGAGTTATAGGAAATAATGTCTAGGTAAAGAACTGGAGTATTGGTTTACAAGATAACTGTACCAAAACATCAAATACTGAAAGCCATGAGAAGTTAATGTGAAGCATTTCAAAATAATATCCTTTCAAAAGTGACGGAACAATCGAAATGCGAAGCTGCATTAGAAAAAATTTAATGATTCGAAATGAAACTTAAATAAACAGCGCAAATAAAAATAATAATAGATATAAGACGAACAAAATTTTAGATCAGCTGCAATCACAGAAAATGAGCAACACGCCAACTTTTGGCCACGGCTGCCGCAGCAAAAACGCAACGCAGCTCATTTCGATCACAGGCGCTAACTTTTTATCACCAGATATTTTTGATTGTGCATCAAAGCGGCACCTCCGCGGCGCAAAAACGATAGCTTCGGAAAAAGTTGTGTTGGCATTTTGTGAATTCGAAGAAGCGCGATAGCCAATCAATTTCAGTTTACATCTGATACTTACTGGCTCGACTCCATGAGTAATATTAATAGTATAATTTTAAGCTGGAATGATGGCGCAGATGAAAGTTTGGAATTCAGGATAGCAAATCGACTATTGAAATATTGCATAAGTTATGAAGCTGGCTGGAATTCTCTTGACTGTTACTCTCGCTGACCGAAAATTCACGTAAATGCTGATTATATTAATCACTTATTTTTAAAGATATATAGGATAACAGCATTCACTTCGTGAAAAGAATGAAAGCAAATTATTATAAGCAAAATCTTAGCAAATATTTTGTCGTGAATCTTCAGCAACTGATAGAATACTATTTGTTAAACATTCAAATTCAGTTTTTGTCATCTATATACTAACGAAGACTCAATTCAGATCATTTATATTTCTAAAAGGCTTTAATTGACTGAATCGGTCGGATGAAAAGGCAGTTGCTGTGCGCTGTGAATGCTCTTTGTTTAACGATAACAAAACGATGCAAGATTTGCTGCCTTCGAAAGGACACTGTTTAAAAAATTGTATCACAATAGACCTGAAATGTTCGGCAACTTTAGCTGAATGAAAAGAATATGAATATTTTAAATCTTTGCATGTGTTTATGTATTCGCGTTGCCTATACATAAACACTTGTATATGTTGAAGACTTGTATATAGGTAGGGTAACATGGGGCAGCGAGCCCACTGCGGGTCACGGGCCCATAGCGGGTTTCTCGCTAAGTATGGCAGATATTGGCCCGTGTTCTCTACCGCCGGTCGACAGTTTCACTGGGATGAAGTGTACGGATTTACGTTTTGCTAAATGTTTGCGTTATTAAGTTCTATTTTGACACTTTTTACAAAATAGTGTTTCATTAAAAATTGAATAACTCTATAGGCGTCTAATTCACATCATACATTCCTCATTAGTTGCACCTTTAAACAAAACAAAGAACCACCTCGTATCAATTAAAACTTCATCAAAAACTTAGTTTAAAAAAAGTGGGGGGCGCGCTGCCCCACGTTACCCTACTAGTCTGCTCGAGTGTGCTATGTTGATTTATTATCATCAAAGGGAAAATAATTAGGCGAGCGTGAATGCTAAATACATGAAAGAGAAGTAAATGTCTCTAAACTAAGAAATTATGTTGATGGACAAATAAAATATTTTCTAATAACACAAAAAGTAAAAACTTCAAAAGAATTTTTTTAGTGAAATGCTGACATTTTTTAGCGAAGCATACGAAGATGCAGGTGGCACTCAACTCTCTTTAAAAATTGTCTCCGGAAATTAAATTCGACTTCAAGCTATGCATTAACGCTGTTGATTTAAAGGAGCTCAAAAGAAATATGCAATTTCGACTTCAAATACATATTAATATCGTGAAATACTCCTCATTAAATTTTTTATCACATCACACGGCTTATAATGAAGAACTCTAATTTTTCCTATTTCCAAATTATTAGTTTCTCATAACACTCAAGTCTTAGCAATGATTCATAACGGAATGAGGCTGCAGAATATTTTATGATATGAACGTACGAAATAAATTACGTCATACCAGTCTGTTTCTGTGCATCATAATTTTTTGTTTTACTGTATGCTTCATTCATGGGTAAGATTGCGTGTTTACCAGTGACCGTTTACATGCGTATAAAGTATCACAATGAATATGAATGTGATATAAATGGACAGGATAAGGAGAACAAAATTGCCTCCCTTAATATAATACAGGGCTGCATACAAATGATGTATAGTGTATAAAATATATATCATTCTTGGCATTATTTCAATATAAAGTGAATCAATACATTATGCTCCTAATAATTATAGGCAATAGTGAAGTAGTGTAAAATTCAAACTGATCCTAAATTCAATTAATCGTCAACACGAATTGTAATAAGAATACAAATTTTGTGTTCAGAGCTAAATATCAAGCATAAATTACTAAAGAAGCAATCAATTTGGTTCAGAAACATACAATTAAACATCATATTACATGACAACGATATGAATTATGGATAAACAACATCATTAGTTATTGAAAATTTATTATAAATTCAGTAATGAATTACCATTAATAAAGACCTATTATTAATTAATGAGTCATTTATAATTTAATTATTCACTTAGGTAGCAATACAAAGAGAATAAATGTATCACACGACTTACAGGCTGGGAGACGGTTGGCAGCGGCAGGCTGTTGAGCGTCCACGTGATATTAGCTTCTGGGTAGGAGCCGACGGCCCTGCATTGCAGCGTCTCACGCACCCCTGCCTGTACCGTCAGCCGCGGGTCCAGCACCACCTTACTGGGCGCCACTGAAACGTGAACACAGCCATAGTTAGTGTCACTATGTTGGGTGATAGAGCAGCACTATTACAGTGTAGCCATAGTTAGTGTTGCTATGTTGGGTGATAGAGCATCACTACTGCAGTGTAGCTACAGTTAGTGTCGCTATGTTGGGTGATAGAGCAGTACTACTGCAGTGTTGGAACAGTTAGTGTCACTATGTTGGGTGATGGAGCAGCACTACTGCAGTGTAGCAACAGTTAGTGTCGCTATGTTGGGTGATAGAGCAGTACTACTACAGTGTAGTTACAGTTAGTGTCGCTATGTTGGGTGATGGAGCAGCACTACTGCAGTGTAGCTACAGTTAGCGTCACTATGTTGGGTGATGGAGCAGCACTACTGCAGTGTAGCTACATTTAGTGTCACTATTTCGTTGGGTGATAGAGCGGCCCTATTGCAGTGTAGCTACAGTTAGTAACACTATTTTGTTGGGTGAAAGAGCGGCCCTATTGCAGTGTAGCTACAGTTGGTGTCACTATTTTGTTGGGTGATAGAGCGACACTACTGCAGTGTAGCTACACTTAGCGTCCTTATTTCGTTTGCTGAAAAGTGACAAGATTGTAGCGCAGCCTAAGTCGCAGTTAATATCAATGCATGGTAGGGCGAGGAAGTGACAACATTGCAGCGTAGCCGCCGTCACAGGTAGCGACACTAGAAGGGTGAAAGAGTGTTGCCACTACAACGCCAATCCAGCCGCAACCACAATTAATATCACTATATAGTGCTACTTAACGTGAAAAGTGCCTCTATAATATCACTATTTTATAGGGTGAAAGAGTGCCGCCGTTGAAACCCAGCCGCTGCCATGCACGACTCCAGTTACCGCCACTAACTTTTTTTTAACATTTTCAAAACACCGTGAGGCTTTGTTAGCGTTTCGGCATTACCAGGGAACCTGAAATGCTTGTTACTGGTCATCTGTCAAAGAAGAATTAGTGAGTTAATCACAGAGACAAATTCTTTAATGAGATAGACGGTATTTAGAGTTTAGGCGTATTATTTGTTTTCTGTATCTTCAGCTGATGAGAATATTATCAAAATAATAGGTCATGCGTGGCTCGCAAGTACTTGGCCAACTTGTTTATATTGTCGTAATTAGATTGGTAAATGGCAAGCATTTTTCATCCAATAAAACATGAAAATTTCGGTAAATCAGTTGCACGCCGATCTCATCATAACAAATAAATTAATATGTACCAACTATTTTTGTATAAACGTTCCATTGTATTTGATTTCGAAATTCGTTGAAATAGGGTATAATTATTATTCAAAATATGCTCGAAAGATGAAAATTACTTCGACCAAGACAGCGTGCAGAGATGTGCACATGATCTCCTTATTAAATTTATTTCTGCAAGCAACGTTAATAGCTGCTGAGTATTTCATGTAGTTTGATTATTTTTCCTGAGTTACCGAATGAGATTGTCTGATCTAATTCAAGGAGTCTCGTTTATTGCATCTTAATGGCTTCGGGATGAAATATCAAGCGATTCACGAGCGACGAGCGTTGCAAATTACCTGACAACGACCACCTAAATATCCTTGGGTAAATCGAGCGCGAATTATAAGACCCAGGAGAATTTGAGCTCGCCAAGGAACATCAAATTATTCGAGAATAAGTAATAGGATCGCGACAGAATAAAACAGAATTATTGTGCAGTTTCAATGTATTAATAATTGTTTGCGTTTAGATGAGAAACACTCCGAAACGAGTTTGATAAATTGTTTCGTATGCGGATGAGTACTTATAGAAACTTTTATTTCTCCGGGAATGATGACGTTGTACTTTATTTAAATTTAATAGCCGCTATTCGGTGCTGGCGATACATTCGAAAAACGTTACAAATATTCGTCTTTTTTAACTAGAATTATTTGCTTCTCTGATCCCTCCGTAAACATTAATTAATACAAAAACATTAATCAGAGTACTAAAAATTCACTATTAAAAATTTAAAATAATAAATTTAAAATTCGGGCTTCCGAGAAACCCGAGAAATTCTACTCTCTCGATGCAAATTTCAGAGCAAAAATGGAGTTCAAGGTTCTTGAGTGCATCCGCTCTGAGTTTCGCAAGATTCCGCGTTACCATAAATAAATAATCTCTTCATAAAATGTCTTATTTAAGTCTAGAGTTTATGCTGCTGCCGGGGGCACAGCCATCGTTGAAATGTCAAGACAGGCCAAAATAAGCCAATTACCGCCTGCCCCCAAAACATCGCACGGGCTCTGAAAAATAATATTGTGCACGAGGAAATTTTTGTCGAGGAGCTAAAAAGTGCCGACTTTTTATGGCACTCTAACGGGAACACAATTTAATTCTTCCAAGGGATAAAGCAATTATTTGGCTATATGATAAACATGGAGCATTTCTAAAGGGACATGAGTTTCATATTCAGTTGATATGTTTAGAATCATATCAAAATTTTCGTTTAAACATAATAATAATAATATTCCGTGATACGGAAACCTAAAGTTTTTATTTTATGTCATAGATTTGAATATCAAATTAGTAAGTAATTTGTTTGTATGGAAACATAACAGCAGAAGAAATTTTACCGAACAGCAATTCTGTGCGCTCCATACAGTTGGAATTAAATTTAAAAAGTATTGTATGGTTTGCTCTGCATCATTCCTAATATTTATAGAGCTTATTATAGGCAATTCGAAAGTAATTGTAGTAATTAATTTTGAAGCGTTCAAACAGAACGCAAATAGAACAAAATTCACATGTTCATGATTAATTATAAATTTTGGTGAACAAATCATGTAGCTTTATGAAGCTGACCCTGATACCTTATACCAATTCAGTTTAAACCGCACATTCTAGAATACAGAATCCATATACTATATATGTTATTGGCTAGATGCCTTCGGCCTCTATTGTAAACCTATTATACTCCCTCTCATTGATGTCTGCACAGTGTTCGCCTCTCGCCTAGCCTCACCCTGCTAAACTCTAGGTCTAGACTGTCATGGCTGTCTCCTAGTGTCTAGGAAAATTTATTTGTTACTACATTATTCGTGCTCAGCTCAACTGTAGTCTAGGCAGCCATGAGAATGTAGAAATAAAACGTCCAATATTTCACTTGTCTTCCTCAGCTTAACTGTTGGTAAAGTCAGTCATGATAGTCTAGGGGTAATACGTCTAATATTTCACTAGTCCCCTTTAGCTCACCAATCGATCCAGGCAGTAAAGATACTCTAAAGGGCATATATGTCCATTATTTAATTAGTGTCCCTTTGGTCAACTATAGGTCCAGGCAGTCTTGGTATCTTAGGGATGACTTATTCGCCAATTCATTGTTCCCGTGTAGTGCATCATCACCTCTGAGCTGATGTGTAGACTTCACTTATTTCGGCCGATACACCCCGACTCAGGTCAAGGGGTTCGCCGCGCTTCAATTGAGCAAACGATGCACATACCTTAACCGAATGCCTCGACTTCCTCGTACATTTCATGAGCCCCATATATACGGCGGCCTGGGAGCTATTAGAGAACCTGAGGTGGCCCTAGGCTGTGCAATTAATTAACGAGCTTTTATCCAGCGTCGCGACATACTTTCTTTAATGGCTTATGCAAAGAGAGCTTAAATAATTTATTAGAGTTACTTAAGGAGATGAAACGAAGCGCAACTCGTCGTATTTCAAGGGCGGCGGAGATCGCAGTGATTCTTGCGTTTGTTATGAGTCAGAGCTGGTTTATTTAACAATTAAGAAAGTGTGTGCTCAGTAATAATTAAAACCTTAGTAATAGCACAAAGTTAATTCAGAAATTTAATGTTTTGATTATTTGACAAAACTGCTTAATGTAAATTTGTATTTAAATATATGTATATTCCATCTAAGTGCATAAATTCTCCTTTCGGCCATGGTCGACTGTACAACTGATCCCATTTGAAGGCTCGTCTTAGTTTACATTTAAAAATAAATTTTAATCAAATATCCAAGCCTAAAAAAATAATTTCCTGATCATATTTTCCAAGTACGAACAATCCGTGTTAAAAACTAACTGGAGATTTGATTTATAATAACATGGACAGCCGAACGTTAATGCTAGTAAACAATTAAATGTAAGTAGAGGTCGACGATAAAAGATATTTTTCAGGGCGAGAGTGTAAACGTTAAAGAGGTAATGGAAACAAAAAAAAAAAAAAACAGGCAGAACATTCAACCATTAGAAATCTAAGTAGAGACAATTCTAGCGAAAGGGTTTTTAGGCGAGAGGCTGGCATGAATTTCGAATTAAAAAGATTTCTTTTCATCCAGGATTTGAAGTCGTGGTATCGGGCTTTTATGGCCTAACCTCTAAAGACCGGCAATCGTATAATCGGATACTTTGCATGCGCTATCAGGGCCGTTGCTTCAACTTTGCTACCGACCGCCAATTTGATCGTAGCCGATGGCATCCTTGCCTCTATGGCCTCCAAACAAAACTGCTGGCTGCTGAGCAGAGTTTTAATTTCTACAGCTCACTTGGAATCAACTAAAACCTTATGCAAAAAATTCTAAAGCTATTTCCAAAAGACTCATCCCTTGAGATTGTCTCCATCGAAACGAAACCTCGAGATTAGAAAGGCGGCAAGCAGAAAAATTGGCTACGTGGTGCAGGTAATAAGAAAGGGTATGAATGCGAAAGGCTTTTCAGGTCTCACATTTATGTATTATTTACTCGAGTGAGGATTAATTTCCACTCCAGGAGCATCAAGATTTTTTAATTAATTCACAACACTTGTCCTTCAAAGCCGACTATGATTGGATGCCAATAATTATAATATCATTGAAATCAATATAATAATAAATAGAAAATTTTGTAGTTTTCTGTTATGTGGCGATTGGAATGAAATTTCGCGGATTTTCTTCAGAAATGCTGGTCGAATGAAAACTAATGCAAAATATTCATACAGATATTACGATGGGTATGAAATCCCTTCATATAGGCCTATATACATATAGCCATTCAAATATCATATTAATAACCGAAGAATATTTAAGAACAAGTAAGTAAGGCATTTATTTCTTGTTGATATGTTATGGTGATCCTCAATTAGTGTCGTTCAATCATATATGCCTCGTTATTTTGGGAAGTAAATTAGTCTAAAGCAATTTTAAGCCCTAAATGCTCTTGAAACATATATGAAGGATGTTGCGATATACGTAAAGTATTTCAACCAACATATTTCTCTACATGTTCATGATGCAAAAAACAATCTCTTGTCAACATCAACTTTCTACGTGGTCCACGAACGCCAGCCGCTCCAGAGGCCTACAGCGGCGAGTGTAGCCATGCAATTCGAGCATAAATAATGTCTTATCACCGCAGTGAAGTGACCGCAATTTAAGGGTACTGCGCACGGAGCTCTTGCACATCTTGCTACACCAACTACTAAATATAAACGACTCAAAAAATATGAAGAAGTAAACACAAACCTTGGACATTTAAAGTAAAGCATTTTTTAGCCTGGAAGTATCTTGCTTGAACGAGCAGTCCCAAAAATTAATAGAAGTGGAACGAGCACTCCTAAAAAATAACGGAAAAATATATTGATGGTTGTTAGGAGACTGAAGAAAAATATCAGGAAATTTAAATGATCTCGAAACGCCTTTGAGCCTGCAAATAAACAATTTTTTATCAAACGCAAATGGTGTGTGTTGAGTTGCACAGCATCTTAGCAGGGCTTGGAGAAAGGGTTTACTCACTGTTTATCTTGAGGTGCACGGTATCTTATCGTAGATTGGATAGGAGGTTTACTCACTGTATATCTTGAGGTGCACGGTATCGTAGCGGGGCTAGGGTGGAGGTTTTACTCACTTTTTATCTTGTGGTGCACGGTATCTTATAGTAGATTAAAGAGAAGGTTTACTCACTGTATATCTTGAGGTGCCCGGTACCTTATCGTAGTTTGGAGAGGAGGTTTACTCACTGTATATCTCGAGGTGCCCGGTACCTTATCGTAGTTTGGAGAGGAGGTTTACTCACTGTATATCTTGAGGTGCACGGTATCTTATCGTAGTTTGGAGAGGAGCTTTACTCACTGTATATCCTGAAATGCACGGTATCTTATCGTAGTTTGGAGAGGAGGTTTACTCACTGTATATCTTGAGGTGCACGGTATCTTATCGTAGTTTAAAGTGGAGGTTTACTCACTGTATATCTTGAGGCGCACGGCATCTTATCGTACTTTAAAGTGGAGGTTTACTCACTGTATATCTTGTGTTGCACGGCATCTTATCATAGTTTGAAGAAGAGATTTACTCACTGTATATCTTGAGGTGCACGGCATCTTATCGTACTTTAAAGTGGAGGTTTACTCACTGTATATCTTGTGGTGCACGGCATTTTATCATAGTTTGAAGAAGAGATTTACTCACTGTATATCTTGAGGTGCACGGTATCGTAGCGGGGCTTGGAGAGGGGGTTGTTCTCTGAGCGGCAGGTGAAAGGTTCGCTGACGAGGGCTCGGGTGAGTGGACCCAGCGTCAGCAGGTTCACCACCCGGCGACACGTCACCGCCTCACACCCCGGCTCCACGTGGCTGATGTTGTCCACCAGCGTGTTGCCCTGCCACCACGTCACGGTGGGTTGTGGGAAGCCTGGGGCAACCAAACTTTAGTGTGAATGACTTAATAATGAAATAATCATTGCAAATAGAAAGCTAAGTTTGAATACGAAATAACACACGGTTGGCATTAAAAGTAGTTTTGCTGAGCGGTTAGTGGCGAGCTTCACAACCACGTCACGATGGGTTGTGCTAGCCCTGGTGCAACCAAACCTTTGTGTTGAATGATGTAAAAAAGAAATTTGTGACTGAAAAACATTTCAGGAGCGTTAATTTTAATATAATTGTTTGAGATTTCTCGATATCACCTTATCACTTTATTGAACACGACTGTCTCCGTTGCTAATTATACGAGTATTTTCGCATGATTTGATAATATGGATCAACATTCTCTCTTTTAAATATATATTTCCCAGGAGTTTATTAAAACCGTCTATGTTTTAAATGAAAACAGGAAATTAATTTAGTCAAAAAAGTAATTGTTTCAAGAGAAAACTCGTTCACACCAGAGAAGAGTGAATAAATTCTTAAATGATTTTTTTTGTATATATTGATGACAATGATCCCAATTGCGCTTTAAAAGATCATTTGTTAGTACCGAGTTTTTGGTTTCTGGGATAACGTCGGCTAACGCATAAAAAACGTTTCAGTAAGTCTATGGTGCAAATTCAAACATGACTTAAACTATCATCATGTTATTTCTCTTTCCGTTTCAATTTCAGGTCAGCTGAATCCGCTTAATTCCGTTTTCTTTCGTAACATCGCTACAACTGAGCAAAATAACAGCATTAGTAAAGTTGGAATGAGAAGAATTTTGGTCGTGAGGATGAGAGACCCACGACGACAATTCCAGTGGAGTTTGTCGCTGCGCGGCAAATCGAGCGACTCGCTTCACTGCTTTGTCAAGTCCTGGTGGTGACATCAAACAACCGTTTGCCCTCCTCATTCATTCCCGTCTTCCTAGGAAGAACTTTTTTGCCTTTGACTTTACAGTTTGCTAGAAAATTGCGATGAAAAACTTTCACATTCTATAGAGAAAATTGCGAATTGACTTGAAAGAGTTTGGCGAGTAAACGCGCTCATTGTGTGTCGTGAGTTTTCAACTCAGTGAACCAGGAAAACCGAACAGAATTTGAGAGCTTCTGTTTAAGCCAAAACATAAAGTAAAAGTATGAGAAGTCAACGGTCATTTTGAGACGATTAAAAATAAGAAATTAATGTTCGGCAAGTTCTTAATTAAATATTTTTAGTCTCAATAAATTCCAAATGAGACTATTTATGTTAACGTTGCAAAATAAGTAGAATGAAATTTGATGAAGGAGAAGTTCATCTGAATTTAATTGAATTTCATAAAACATAACTTGCATTTAGGGCAGCCAGAAACCGTGATTGTCTATGTTAGCGAATACTTAGTTTGATAACGCAAGCTTTCAAATAGATTATAATTCGACAGTTATGCCGGCACTGCATATTGAAGCATCGAAGTCCTATGCAAGTTACATTGAAACGTTGGCGATTGGAGCACAGCCAAGGCTTCTCTCAGGCAGCCGTAATTCCCTCTATACTGCACCCATAATACGACGAGTATTTGATGAAAGTTGCACTGGTAATCTGTGGATTCAGTGATGGATCTGCTCTCCCATCATCCTCAAGAGCAGTGGATATTTTCACGGATAATCCGTGGATTCACTAATACTTCTACAGCATTTGATATTATCGTCAAAATTGCAGCATGCAACGCAATCGAAGCGCCTTCAATCAGACGATCTACCATTGAGCATCTCGAATGCGATTCCCAAAGAAACGATGGAAAAATAGAAAATTACATTATCAGTCTGCTTAAATCGCAAGTCCATGAGGAATGTAAAGAAAACGCCAAGCAAATTCACCATATCGATATTGATTGAAAATGTTTCGGAGTCCAGCTCCATCGTCAGTTCGACAATCTAAAAATTAATACAATCATTTTATAATTCGAAATTCGAAGTCAGAAATTACAACCGAAAAAGACAAATACAACACAAAACTATCTTAAATCGAAAACAAGCACTGGCGGAACAGAGTCACAAAAGACACGAAAAAATTAAGGCCTAAGAAAAACACTAGAACATATAAAAGCCTAGAAATTCACTATTTCAAGAGGATAGGAACTGAACGCATTATTGAGAAGCGGTTTTCATTTGAAGATATGTAGTGATTCCAAAATCCTCAAATCCGAACAGCCAGTGACACTCCAAAACGTTTTCAACATCGATATGGTGAATTTGCATGGCGTTTTCTTTACTTTTAAATTCCTTGCAAAAATGAAATCGTGTAACACGAATTTGTGCTGAAGCTTACTTAATGCTAATGGCATCTAATCAGCAAACGTAATTAAAATTATTCATATATACTACGAGTAACTTTGGTTATGACTTGAAGTTTTGAAGTCGCTCCTGCAAACAATGATAGAACGGTCAAATAGATGATGGTTTGCTGGCTATTTTGAGATTAATTTTGCTGCGCATTTGGATAACTATTTATGATATTATTAACTTTGATGACGATTTTAGATAACTTTCATGGCAGGTTTAAAATTATTTTGACTACTATTAGGGTTTTGTTGTCTATCTCTCTGTTTTTATTCAAGCATATTTGCAGTAAGGAGCTCTGTCGCGGATTTTATAATTAATATTGTATAGAATTTTGCGGCCTCGTCACCACTTGTCTCGCAAACATTGGTGGAAACAATTATAAATTTCGAGAAAATACGCTTCCTTACGTATAATATACTCTCGTATATTATAATACTTTCAGTGCTAACTATAATATACTTTCTTATATTATACTGAGCTTGAAATATTTTCATTAATGTCGATTATATCGCAAGGGCTGTCGGACTCTCACCCCCCACGACGGTACAGGTTAGGTTGACCACGTCGCCCTCGTGGAAGGGCCCCTGGATGATGTCTTCCGTGGCACGCCCCACGCGGTGCTGCCACAGTGTGATGTTTGGCCCCAGTAGCGGGTTCTCTGCGACCAGGAGTAGAATTCATTAAATATTAATATCTTTAACGGTTTCACTTCAACCTTATGCAGAATTCCTTTATTAATATCTCAAACTTTGAGGATTATGAAAAAATGCAGAAATTTTTTCGCCGCAAAATAAAGTGAATGAAGTACAATTCCTGTCGATGGCTCAGAACATTCAGTTTAACCACCACAATTTGACAACGAATCAAATAGAAATATGTTTTACAAGTAGAATTCATGCTAAGATTTGTCAGTTCAACCATAATAAATGAGCCTTCACCAATTCAAAGGATTCATTAAATAGATAAATTATTAGTTCAAGAGTAGAAATGAGAAAAGTTTAGTAAAATACGATTCGTCAGCATATTTTGTGGTGCAGACATTAGATCTTTGATATATGTATCAGGAATTGATGTACTCAAAATAAGGATTTAATTTCATGCTTTTACATTCTGTTATTTTATTCAAATTCTAGTATGGACAAATTTTTATATAATAACACTTCAATATTTATATCGGCATCATATGAGTAATTTCATAAATTTCATGAACATACAAGGTTGTTGGTACAATGTGAAACACACAGTATATTTTATAAGAAAAAATCCTGATATTTCTACATGCCAATTTTACACAAAATGAGAGATCCTCGGAATGCCGAGGAAACAGCTCCGTAATTAGTTAGAAACAAACAAGCTGCGTTGATTAAAATCCTGTGCCAAGCCCCTGAGATTAATAGCGAGGATGAGGAGTGAGCTGCGGTGGGTATAACCGCACGACTTCCGTCCTGAGGTTGCCGGGACTGAATTAGAAATTATGAGCAGAGAAATAACATTGGATGAGAGACGCCGTGCATTGTATTTAATTAATAAAGCTCGCTGTTTACTTTTTGTTGCGTGAAAAATAGGAAGTTGGTAATCCATAAAAATTGTAAAAAGTGATCCGGAATTTTTGCTCAGATGTTTTATGAATTATTAAAGAAATTCATTGGATTTTAATGGATTTTGGTCACTGGTAATGGACTTTTACAGCCTCCGTCAAGGAATTTGAGTTATTGGATTAAAGCAATAGAGCGTTTTTTCAAAATTAAATCATATCATGAAGGTAGGTAACTCTCATGGAATTATTTGGAATCACGTGAGTTTTGTGATCCAATATGCACGGAAATTGAGATATTGAAATTATAAGTGAAAAATATTTTGATTGCTTACACAACTAGGCGAACTTGGTAAACTTAACTCACTATTTTTATGGTGCATTAAACAATATTCATGTAATCAAGAAAGATCATGAATGAAAAAAAATCAATCAACATTGTTCCTTATAGATGAAAATTATATCGAAAAATTACTTTGACGAAGAAAGTTTATCTAAGAACCTGTCACTTATTATTCATCTGTGAACCTGAAAAACTCCCGGCAGTGATTACAACCCGAATTTCTTGGACTGTACAGGAATTATTCCTGTTTGCAACTTGTGCTTTTTTAGACTGAGAAGCATAACCAAGAAGCACATTTTCATGTCTGCGGCGTAAGTAACATCGCTAATAACATTAATAGTTGGCGATTTTTTTTACCCGAGATCGTCATCCACGAGATCGTTTTTAATCCATTACCGTTCGTGAGGCAAAATATTTAATGCTTCATAACGCCATTCCTACCTGAATGGCAGAACAAATCGTGGGGTAAAGCTGCAATCCATACTGCAGTGGCGGTTACGTTGGACGCCAGGCAGCAATGAGAGCTCATATGCAAGAGTGCTCACCGTGTACTGCTCTAGCCTCATGGGGCTGCACGCTACACGACCGCTGGCCTTTCATGCGAGGCGCATGACGCAAAATGCATGACGCGAAGTGCATGACGCGAAGTGCATGACGCGAAGTGCAGGCATGAGGTGCATGACGCGAGGTGCATGACGCGAAGTGCATGACGCGAGGTGCATGACGCGAAGTGCAGGCATGAGGTGCATGACGTGAGGTGCATGACGTGAGGTGCAAGGCGCGTGGTGCATGAAACGTTTTTAAGACTTGAAAATATTTAAGTCTTGGTAGCTACGAAAGTGTAGTCAGGCATCGCCCTCTCAGTGATCGAAGCGAGCTAATCTACTAACAGCTTTTACGTCTTGTAAAGGTCACCGCCTGTGCCATTTTTATGAATCGCATGGGAAAAATTGACCTAATCATTATATTTAAATTACGTATACATTTTAATTATCCCTTTTTTATATTTGTAATTGCATATTTTTGTATATTTATAGTGAAATTCACCTAGGCTAAATTAAAAATGACAAGGTAAATTCAAAAATATAAATACTTTTTTGTTTATGGTTATTGCTGAAAAAAGTAGCTTAATATGTATGAACGTTTTTAACAATTATTGTGTTTCTTTTAATAGATCATCATAATAGACACCGAGGAACAGTCACTGATACAAATATCCCGTACAAAATTTTCTCCAAACTGTGTGCGCTGGAACTGTCACGGCCTCCACTTCGCATGCTAACGCACGTGTCAGAGATATTCATTATGCATACGAACTGATTTTCATTCAGGATCAACCGGCGCATTGCAGACAACTTCAGTAATCTTATTCGTCAGGAAATTAAACTGAGAGCAAACTGCTCGCAGAGCTCCTGCCTGTGTCGTGCTGAGCCAGTGGGCGAGTTATAAGTTTGGGTAAAGGCAAAGTTGACCGTTTAGGCAAAGGAGAAGTGAAGCGTGACTTCATTTCTGGCTGAGAAATGCTTCAATTGTCAGCGTTAATTGTCAGGACATTGAGGAATGCATCACTGTAGCATTGTGACACTATTGTTCTGACGTTCTTGAGGAAAATGACTCTTTCAGATGAAGCTTAATATTGATGATGAAAAAATATAAAATTATTCTGAATTGTTGTAGAAAGAGCGAATTTAGAACCGCAAATTTCATCATATAATTTGTTCGAAACCTAATAAATAAATTAGCCGAGTGCATAGAGAGATGATCTTGGCGATCACTTTAAATAAATCTCTCATTGTATAAAACAGCGGAAGGTTGCTCACAGCATTGAGACATGCAGAACAAAAAGCAATGACGTCTATTTCTTCACTTCTTGAATGGCGAATGAGAGAGTCTACTGAGCTATAAAAAATGCAATTTGCTTCGTGGTTTGCTCACGCGAAGTTTTCAGCAGCAGCAGCAGTAGCAGCATTAATGGTTCAATGGCCGCAGTTATCGACAACGAGTGAGGTAGCAGAGGCCATCTACCGGTAACTTGAGCTCCTTTATCTAGATTTGAACAGACATGACCGCTCCATCGACCAGAGTACCGGGCGTGTTGCAGTCGATGGCTCACTCAACGTCGTTGTTCTTTTCAGTGCAAGAGTTCAAGCCCAGTGACTGATAAATACTTGTCACTGCAAAGCCTTGACATTAGAAACATTTCGCCCGTGGCCGTAAATAGCGTTAGATTATAAAAGAAGGAGTGCAGTGAGATCATGTAAAGGTTGCAGAAGTGCAATCATGTAAGGTGGTTGATTAAAACTTTAAGCACCGACAGTAAATGACGATGAACATAATAGGTAATAATTTGATGGAAGGTCAGATTTTTTTGAAAACCAGTAACCCTTGCACTATGAAATAACAGTCATATTTTGTACAGCTGTTTTTATCATGACATGATAGACTTTTTGAAATTGATTGCTTTTCTAATGTATATTTTATCCCATAACTGAATATTGAACGAAAGTACAACCTCTTCAGCAGACGATGGTCCGAATAATGACAGGCGCCAAAACTGCTCGCGTGTCAAAAAACCCTGGAGGAATTTAGATTTCATTTCACTTTCAAAAATTTCGGCATGAAATAATGTTAAAAGGCTACGAGAATTTAAAGTTTAAAAGAAAAATGTAGATTTAATTTAATTTAAGATTTAAAGGAAAAATGTATTTTAACGATGATTTCTAAGCCTAAAATCAAATATGGCGTTCATTTCGAAATTATTATTTTTCGAAATTAGTATTTCTATATTTCAAACGTATTATCTTAACTTTTTACAACGATTCTCTTTAACTTCACTTCTTGTTTGCCTGCTACAAATCTTATTATCATTATTTAACACACTTGTACCAGTCCAACCGACCTGAAATATTGCCCACTTGCATGAAATTGGAGACAATGCATGCAACAATTGACGGAATAAATGATTTTAAAAATTTTTAAAAATTATTTATTAGAAAAAAACGCTAAAATTCTTTTTATATATATTAAAAGTAAAAAAAAAGAAATTCATTGTATATTAGCAACACCGGCCATTGTATATTAGCAAGAGACACCGGCCTCTTTAGAAGTGTTGTCTTTAAAAAGGTAATTTTTAAATGCATATTATTTGCTATTGACTTACATGACTCGATGTTATCTGCATGAATAACACAATAAATCCTGGGTTATCAACAGAACTAGGGTTATATATTGTTCCATACGACTTTATGTGCATAATTTGTTTGTATTTTTAAGAAATGAATCAAAATTAATGGTTTCCTAATGTTGAATGGATGTTTTCTGCCGAATTTCTCACAACTCATGCATTCCGACTCGTATACATTCCATGCGAATTTATGTCTTGTTATAGCATGAAAAATAAAACCTGAACAAACGTATTTCCCTTATTTCGATGTTAATGATGATGGTTACTGGCAGCAGCAATGATCATTTCCCAGTGCGAACACGAAACTCCTCAATTAGTCGGTCATTTGTCTTCATCGCGGCCAGTGTAATTAACACCAATATCCTGCTCAGCTAACTGCTTAATTACCCACTTAGATTAGCCTTCGTAATGCGCCACTTGAGTCAGCTTTCGTTCTATGGAGCACGACAGGTAGAACATTTCTAAGTGTTCGTAATAATGAGAACACATTTTATGGTGTTCGAGAAATTTTTTTCAATGGAGGACTGCAGGTAAAATTATTTCGAACGCTCGGAACAACGAATACTCATTTCATGGCTCCTTGGAAATGTTTTTACACGTTTTTTATCGTGTATTGAGCAAGAGATAAATGTATTAAAAAAACATCGTGGCACTCACATAGATAGGAAATCGCCTGATGCTGGGGCCCCAGCAATCGTCTTAGCCTCACTCGCTATGCGGCATCAATGCCTATGGATGAGCGCGGCACGATGAGCTCGATCGTTCATCACAGCTAGAGGCGCTAATCCAGTTAGTGGCGCGCACCCCGGCGACGAGCAGGCTTCGTCGTCGCAGTCTTCTTGCTAGACGCTCCTCAGGAGATTGATCGTAACAGTTGACGTGGGGACTGGCGCCAAGATAGATGGAGGATGCAACTGACGACTAAACCTGATAATATATTACCACCCACTTACTTTCGGCACTGGATAACTTTATCAAACGCTCTTCTCCATTGAATCTTACAAGATGAATGGCCTCAAGAGGAAGATTTTGATCTCAAGTTTAGAGGTGACGAACGCAAACACCATCGCGTGATCACAAGAGAGCCCATCACGAGCAACGGCCTCAACAAATGGAACTTCCACGGAAAAATGAGGGCATGTCTGAAGCCTTTTTAGGCCTCATGAAGACAGGGCGCTGCAAAAATGCTAGATTCGGAGCAGGAGAGCCCTTCGCTTTTTCCTGTCGCATTTTGCAAGACGTTCTCGACGTATACCAAGACCGGGGCGAAAAATGTTTCCTGTTGAATTGCGCATTAGCATGCAAAAATAATTCGTGCCCTATATATAGGAACATGCAAAAATTAGGCGAAAATATGACGTAAAATGCTTTCGATCTCGCCGTAGAATGTAGTGAACGAAACATCAAAATAAATTTTATGTTCAGTAATTTTTATTGTTGCAGGTATTTGTACAGTGAATTTCTTTGAAGTAATAAAAATGGCATTGATTCTTTTACTTGAAGAAACAAGAAACTATAGCTGTACTGAGAAAATTCTTCATGGGTTTGCTTAACCCATTAATGAATGTACGTTTTAAAATCTGTTTTTGAGATTAGTTGCTTGCTCAAACCTACAAATATGCTGAAAATCAACTAAACTCCGGCATGTTTTCAACTTTGAGAATCAATGCTTGGAAGAATCGAGCGAAATATACTTACCAGGAGCAACTTTTTGTAGGAGTAAAACCGTCGATAAAACAATAGAAGCAAATGCTATTTATGAACCAGTTTCGACCATAAGCAAATGCGTAGATGCTAGGTTTAAGCAAACAACTTGTATCAATAAATGCATTAACTAAATACATGTAAATAAATGAATAAATTCATTAATAATCGAGTAGTTAATTATTTAGGCGAATTTTCTAATCTCTGAAATCTATGAACCAATGAAGACTTTCTTCAACTGTGAATAACTGAATTCATTTCAAATCTTTCATTTTTTCCTATTTTCAGACTTAAGAAAGCATTATATTTAATTGTGAGCAGATTTAACTGAGACGTATTCTGAGGGAGTTCTCATTAGCTGAAGCCATGGGCCGCCACCTAATGCCGCTAGCTTTCTGCCACTTAAGGCAATTTGGTCCCTCGAGCCACGACGAATATTCACTGCTGGAATTTAAATCTTAAAGGCAGAGGATAGAATTTCATAATTTTCATTAGTGAATATTTCATACTCATTACTCGGATTCAGGACTAGGTGTGAAGGAATAAGCACAAATAACCAAGTTAGTTGAAAGTTTCCAGTTGGTAGAAAGATATATTTGAGCGAGTAATTGTCGGGGCCCATTCGATAAATAATTGATATATAAATAAAGCCGTCAGTGGCCACCAGACATTTACTTATGATCGTTTCTTAATAATCATTGTAAATTTAATCATGTTTATTTTTATTTTTATATGAGGTCATTAGGAGGCCATACTGAGGTCAATGAAATACTGAGGTCATAAATTTAAATATACGGGGAAAAATGCCAAGAGTAACTAAATTAAAAATAATCCTATTGCCATAAGTGATCGTTTGATTATTATGGAGTTCTGCCCAAAGCGTGCATAGTTAAAAAAAACAAGAATATCTTAATCAAATGAATTATTCGACTATATTTCATGAGCTGGCCTGATGATCGTTAGTGACTCACGCACCCATCACATTTGAGAACAAATTGTGTCGTTGGCCGTAGAATTTCAATGCAATGCCGGCAGAGTGGAATGGTTTTCATAATACAAGCATAAATTCCTGTAGATGTTGAAGGAATGACTGCCCGATTAATTTAATGTAAATTATCACTTACCGTAGACTTTCAACAAGACCACATAATCCGGCGGAGTGGCGTAGTTTTCATTGTGAACGTGTCAATTTCTATAGATTGTGAAGACGTCACAACATTTCATCTCTATTGGCCAATTAATGTAATGTAAAACCGTAATCTAATGTAAAATGTCACTTACCGTAGACTTTTAAGGTGATCGCCGAATTGAGGCTGGGGGAGCCAAGGAAGTCGACGCGACAGGTGAATTTTCCAGTGTCGTTGCGGGTGACGCGATGGAGGCTGAGGGCCACGCGGTGAGGGGAGGTGACGTTGAGCGCCACTCTGCCCTCGTATCGAGGGTCACGCGTACGAGAACTGCCACCGCGCCAGAACTGGCCCGATCTCGCGTCGTAACTGCCAGCAATACAACCAGAAATTAGCCAATGTGTCGAGCATGGCTTGAACATGAGAGTTTTTTAATTTACTGTCCACGGAGAGGAAATAAGATCAATGAGAAAATGAACCAACGCTTATTGCAAACGCGCTGGAAATTAACTAGACTCATCATCATTCCTGACCTAAAATACTTAGAAAACATGAGAAAATCCGAGAAGAGCGAAATTTCTAACGATAGATTAATTTTTTATGAGATTACTCTGCTTATACAACGTAATTTATTAGCAAATAGATCAATGTAATAATTTTCTACATGTCAAGACGACAATTCAAGTTGAAATTTTTTTTTGGCATTGAAAAATCGACTCAATTTTTCTCCCGGCTTTAAATTAAAATAGAAATTGGAAATTAAATTAATACTAGAAAAGATTAAAAAAGATTAACTGAAAATGTATGGGAAGGAAAATTTAGCCCTAAAACGCACGTTACTCGATATGCGACAGTCGCAGCTGTTTTACAGAAGTTATTATTCACTATTGCAACATCAGGTCATATTAATGAAGTAATGCCGTTTTTCCTGCTCCTAAAATTCCCACAGACATTGCAGTCGCTAGGGTTTAGGGCCAAGCATTAAGGCAGCGACAGCAGAGCAGCGATACAAAGTGGATACCGTGTCCCTTAGAGCCGCGGGATCGCATTGTTTTCAGAGCGTGAAACTTTTCCACGAGAATAATGAGATTTTTTTATCCGAAGAATTAGTCGCTGTAATGGAGCTTTTTCACTGAAATTGCGTAAAACTTTTAAAAAATGGATAAGGACTGACAAAAATTGGATCCAAATGATAGTAGAAAGGCTTCTAAAAACCTAAATTGCATCAGGGAGTAGTGGCGATTGATTGAACGACTTCGCTTCCAAGTGGAATGGCAGTGAAACAAAAAACTTCTCTTGTTGAAGTATTCCGATGGTGCAACAAATAATGGATAAATATGAATGTTTTATTTTTACAAAATTCTAAAGCTTTCTACCAACGGGATACCGGGGCTCAAAACTGAAGAGCTACACTGCGCACTGCTGGTGATCTCATCACTATAAAGCTGCACTGCGCACTATTACTGCAGATCTATGCACACTACTCATCACTATAGAGCTGCACTGCGCCCTGCTGGTGAGCACATCACTATAAAGCTGCACTGCGCACTATTACTGCAGATCTATGCACACTACTCATCACTATTAAGCATTCATCGTCGTCAACTTCCTGCATGACAGAGGCCCCCATGCCCGAGACGTGACCGAGAGCTCTATGGCAAGACGTGTGGTCGGCCTGGGCGTCGTGGGTTTGCATACATAACTGCTGCTTACCAGCAGACCAGCCAACAAAATACCGCACTCAGACCCGCACTTCAGTGAGACTTTATTACTCCTCAGTAAACTCGGTCTCTGCGCAACCCTTAACGGGGACGCTGTCTTGACTAATGTGTTTCATTTAGCCGAGGAATAGACCGAGATTTCGAGCCAGCCAACCATGCCGCGACCGTTTGTTTTGGAACGACATTCCAATGTTTGCTGCATCGCCTTTCGTAGTAACTTTCTGGACGTCTTTTATAATATCTCTCTTGCATATTATTTTTAATGGTTTGAAGGTTTGAAATATTATTAATGGTTTCTGTGTGATCGTTTTACGAATCAAACAGTATTGAAGGAATATTGCCAACAATAGACATTCTCGATCGCAGGTGTATCGAAAATTAGAGGTTATCGTTTCTTTAAAATTCAAAGCCAGCCTTGCATCTTGATCGAGATTCGATTATTGTGATGCATACCTACTGAACGCTGATGGGAGAAAAGGGCTGACGATGGAATATAAAAAAGCCAAATTGAAAAAAATGTCGAATAAATAGAAAGTGAATCATTTACATTGATGTATAGGAGATTATTGTTTTTATTATGCTTAGTTGAGCTTTGTTGAGTCAAATCTCTCTGAATGCATAGTTGAGGCGAATTCTTTTTTCAAATAATAGTAAGTAGTATTTCCACATTCTACGAACAATGTAGGAAAGGGTGATCGAGGCAAAGATAAGCTGATGAGAATATGCAAGAATACACCTTCTGAAATTGCTTATCATACAGAGTTTTTCTTAGATTAAATCCAATGAAAATAATTACATCGCTTCGAAAAATAGAGCAAATCGGTTTTTCTTAAATCTTTTAAAAATCCATAAATAGAACGGAATCGTAGAGCCATTTAGTTTCTCTTAAATAATTTAAAAACTGTTACATGGAACCGAAACGTGGAGTCATTCTGTGCCTCTAGAAAAAGTTGCCCGTAAAGTAAAGTACCGTGATTGAAAGTGTTTTTAAAAAGTTGAAACTCTTCCGGAACTGCCAAGTTGAAATCAATTAAATTTTAACAATGAATACTCGTTAGCAAATGGAGCACTTCAGTAGCATTGAGAGGCAAATCAAATTAATGAACGATTGCCAAAGTTATCCAAAAGTTGAAGTTTGGATATTTTCGCAAGTACGCTTTAAAGGAACCCAATCACAAGTTTAAATGGGTGCCGTGAATAGCAAGGGAGGTCGGTCGATTGGTTGCGATGAGCTGCCGGAGGACTCAAGAAGCCACTGCTCGAAAAATTTAATTTAGATAATTATTATCAGGGGGTACACATTGACAAGAGGAAGACCTCCTGTTGTTCAAGCAAGGAAATATTTGAATATTTTGGCCAATAGTTGGCCAGCAAAATGGTCAATGATTGGCCATGTTTGTAATAATCTTCATTAAGTTTTTTTTCGAGCGTTGAAGCTCCTACGCTCTAGGCTAGAGCTAATTAGCGAAGGCGCAGCAATTGACAAAGCTTGGTTCGTCTTTTCAACTTTTTCGAAGGCAATTAAAAAGTTTTACCAATCGTGCACCAACTGAAGAAAATTCTTGGAAAGAGCCTAAGGTCTTATTCATTAAATAAATCAGATGCAAAATGATTGGTACGAGTATTAAGATTTTGGAATTTTAATTTCAAATATTTAAATTTTATAAAACTAAAATACCGAAGCAGAAAACTTTAAATGAGAGAACAGTTTCTATGTTCATGAGCTTTCGCAAATTGATAAAAATATTTCAGATAGAAGTACGATCTATTGAACTGAATGTAAACTTGACATTAAGAAATCCATCATTAAATTCCAAATTTTGAGGAATAATTTTTTAATTGAGAAACAGATCAACATGAAAATTTTCAATTAGCCTATGGTATCAAACACTTTACTACAAATATTTTCAAATCAATATATTCATTGTATAATTCCATATTTTGTTCAGCAATATAAAATCTAAAGCTCATATGCAATCGCATTCTACTACGGTAATGTATTTATTTCTATCGCAAATAAATTTATTATTCAACAGCACTGTGAAAACGGTAAAAATTTATCATATTCTGGACTGAAACGTTTCGGAGACCAGTTTCGTCATCAGTTTATAATTAACTGACGATAGAGATGGTCTCCAGCTCCACAAAATTTCCCATTTTACCTAAAAATCCAATTTATTTTTCGTTAGGTAATATAAAAACTATTATATTTTGAGTTATTAATTCAAGATCAATTTAGAATAAAATTTTCATTTTGGTTCCAATTTCTTCTTGGCAATCTTGCTATGCCTTGCACGATGAGTATATGTATAGGATACGCACACAAAAAGATCTTTTTTGTGATGTCAGATTTTAAACACACAAAAAACTTTGACTAAGACGTTACATAAATAAATTAGCGAATAATAATCAGCAAATGAAATATTCGCTGATTTAAATTAAATGAACTGAATTCGCTGAACACGATTTTCCCCACACCTTGTATGCCTCTTTTCGGTAATTCTACACTAGTAGAGTTTTTGGGAGTGATTCCAGGCATTTGAGCGAACACGGGGCGGCTCGCAGAAACAATGCAATTCGCATTTGTAACATCCTAGAAATTCGGCGCTGGCTTATTCACGTCTTCCCGACACTAATTGAGTTCCTACAAAGATTGAAGCCAAAAGCGCGAGGTTGGGAAGTTTTGAGCGCGTTTAGCATACTGATGTTGTCAACAGCGAGTTCGTAACTCCCTTAACACTGCCTCGAATACCTTTGGTCTTTATTAAAACATTCTTCCCTCTAGTTAACTGAGTGTTAATTGGAACGGGCAAGATAACTCGAGTATTCTCAGGACACGGTTAGGGAAACTACTCTACAGTAGATTGTTTTCCAGGCAATCCCACTGTCTTTCAATACTTCCTCTATGAGTTATATCTTTGGAATGGAAACTCTATGTCAAACAATTCTCGTGCATCTAAATGGGCTCAGTCATAAGACAACAAAATCTATTTCCTTAAAACAAGAATAATTTCTGATCAAATGCTCTAAAAAATATTGAGCTTGTAATTCCAAATCTAATTCTGCAGGTGCTGCAGAGGTTGCTGAGAATGAGCTCGAATTCATGAAGGACATTTTGAAATTCAAGAAGAAATTTACCAATGAACGACTGAGCAGTCCGCGGTGTCTTTGAAGAGAGTCAATAAGTGACAGCCTGGTGCTCAGCAAATGTTTGCAAGATTTTATTCATTCGAAAAACCTAGTCATGCATCGTCAATATCGGCTCAAAATAAAGCTTCGCAAAGAAAAAAAGCTGGTTTTGGTTTTCGCGGACAAATTGAATGAAGGTTGCTTGTAAATATTATACTCTGCAGAGCATTTGATTAATAAAATTTTTATGGTTAAATTTAACATGAGACTGTTTTCTGCAAAAATATTTGATTGCAAAAACTGTTGATTAATATGATGGCGGAGTTAATATAAAATTAAAACTTGGAAGTTACTGCTCAGAGGGAAATATGTCAAGCATATAATTTTTGAACAATTAACAATGACTGTCACTAATAAAATACAAAACTCGGAAATCATACGACATTAAAAAGGACTCATATGAATCATAAATTCGCCTTTTTGTTCATCGAAATATAATTATCTTAAACGTTAATACATATTTCAAATTATCATTCTTTATAAATCTGTTGAAGTATCGCTGATTGCTTGCCGTCGTATTATGAGTTGATATGTCCTCTGCATTTGTCTGGCCCAGTCATTTAGATTAGAGGTAGCACGTCAAATACGAGAAAGCTGATTTGATTCTGGCACGTCAAGATAATGGCAGCACAAGGTAGCGAGTCAAGATACGAGATAGCACGTCCAGATTCTATATAGCGACTCCACATACAAGATTGCACGTCGAGATTCATGGCAGCACGAGGTAGCGGGTCAAGATACGAGATAGCACGTCCAGGTACGAGGTCGCACTTCGAGATACGAGAATGCAGAGTTTCGCAGGTGACGAGTCGTGCTCCAAATTGGGCCCAGGGAATGTACCTCATGCTATTAGTACCATATAAATCATGCTCAGGTAGATTTATCGCCCAAGTTTCAATTTGCTGCGATATTCTAGATGAATCAAATATTTAGCTGTGTTCCGAGTGATGGCGATACACTGGAACGAGACGTTTAGAAACTTATTCGCTTCCATACAATTCTTCCTCACTTTAAGTCCAATGAATGTCAATTATTTTAACTGCGTGATTCCGGTCGTTTCACTCTTTTATAAATATTTAACGATTACTTTTCACGAGGGATGCTGGCAAATATTGGGGAAGAACCACTGAAGTAGAAATTGTGGTGGGACAATTTTGAGGGAAAGCAGCGCCACACATTACAGAGACAGTTGAATCGAATAGGCTGACAAGAATGGATTAAATTCAAGTCATTGACTTAATGAACAAATCACAGTTGAAACTAATTACATGAAGAATATATAAGTAAAGACAGATCCATGGGATTATCTTCTAAGAATGCCACACGGAGGCCGTGTCCACCGTTTGTTTGTCCAGTATGGCGGCTCATTCAAGAGTGAGCCGATGAAGGCTTACGTTGAATTCAGTTTCGAATAATGTGTTGTTAAGAAAAAAAGCGAGAACCATGTTTCACAGAAAGACAGTCCGCGACAAAATCACTAAATAATTGCACAATAATAAATAATTATTGCCAGTGCTGCCTGTATTCTACCTGATCATAATCTAATTTGAATTTATGTGCAGGTATTATAAAAAGTGCTGGTGCTGATTTGCACAATGATGGACAAATTATTTTATATTTTCACACTAGACTATAATCAAAGTGATGGGGGTTTACCCTAAAAATATTCTTAAAAAATTGAACTCGTTAAAAAAGGTAATTAAAACGTTAATGCAAAATCATCAACGACTGCCATAAAATAGAAAAACGATATTATTTAAATATAATTTAAATAGATCAAAGACAAACATTAGACTAATTTACTAATACTAGTCGCCTAAAATTGTATGATCTTGACACCACAAATCGCAACGGTCAATCGATTTTTATAAAAATGTGCAAGCATCTTCGTGCTGCAACTGGACACTAAAAAGCCCGTCGCGGGGCTAGGCTGTCTCCGGTGAGCAATGAACAGCTATTTCTCATAGGCGCGCAATCCTCTTGGGAAAGAGCTGCTTGAAAAGGCGACTCTTCTACGATAAATGGACGAATTTTGTCTGGAAGGAAGCAGCTTTTGGATAACATCAACAGATGGCAGAATCTGTCACACTTCGTGAACTTTAGACGTGCTCCGTGCATCATAAACATAGAAAATGCCGATGTCATCTTTCTTGAAACGTGCCAATGTAGTGCTGGTTGTGAATGGTTTCATTACCTTTTTAGAAAGTCTATTAAGTTACCTTTGGGCATATGAAAAGCATTTTATTTCGATGTTAATGTTAAAGTCATGATGTAAAATTGAGTTTTTGTAAGAAGCGATTTTCCTATTTTTCGACCAAAAAAAATTAATCGTGTCGTCTTTATAATAAATAATAACATCTAGTTTCATTTATTAAATTGATAAAAATATCACTATTTTTACGAACTAATTTTTTGCGCATTTTCTCATTAATAGAAAAAAGGCGCTATTGTGTTCGTCATGTTCGTCCGGCCCTCCGTGACTTCACGAAAAAATGCGCTCGCTGTCACTCACTGCAGTGACTACTGATCTATTTTTTCAAAATTGATTTTTAATTGATTATGAAGTCTCATGCACAAACACTAAATCATTTCTCCATCGCTAATTGACATTAAAAAAGAAGGTAATGATTGACGTATTGCCAATGAGCAGCCACATATCCCAGAGAACCAGGGTTGTAGTTTATCTCGCTGTATCAGTGATAGAAGATGTGACTACGAAGCCTCATTTGAATACTCGGACAGCGACGAGGCAATTCCAGACGCATACGTCGACCGGGCGCACGACTGCACCGTCTCATGAGCTGCAATGGGCCGGTGGCAGGAATGGACCAGTGGCAGAAATGGACCGGTGGCAGGAATGGGCTGGTGGCAGGAATGGACCGGTGGCTGGTGTGGGCCAGTGGTAGGTATGGGCCGATGGCTGTTATGGGCCGGTGGCTGGAATAGGCCAGTGGCAGGAATGGGCCGCTGTCTGTATGGGCCAGGGGCTCGAAAGAATCCATACCTACGGGCCCGGCCTGCCTAATTTCAGTTGTCAGCTTCACAGCTGCGGCGCGCTGGGGCTCGCAATATTGGAATTCCACAGCCTAAAGGCTCACTTAGATTTAGAGCATACCTTCCAATCGGAACATTTCGTTTAGTGATTGAAAAAAGTAGAGAACTTTATCAAGTAGCGGCAAACAGATTCGTCCAGCTCCTGGCTATTTTCCAGGATGAAAGAAAAATAGGGAAGGAGAAGTGTGACAGCAATATTTGTTCAAATTTGCCACCACTTTCAAACTTGGAGATCCATTACAACTTTGAAAATTGTATTGACTCTCACAACCTATGTTCGGATGCAATGCAGTTGGAAAGTGCAAGGATTACAGCGTGCATGACTGAACAGGCTCCCAGCGAGATATGTATATGGAACTTCAAAACATCGTGGGGCTTTGACAAAAAAAGTGGCTGAATACATTCAAGAACTAAATTAATAAAATTGTCTGATTTTCATAGAGATGAAACATAATTAGTTATAGATGCTATTTTCAAGTAGGCTCACAACACAATAATACAATGAACAGAAATAACTAAGAAAATGGAGAATTTCTAAATCCACCAAACAAGAGTTGATTTAAATAAATACTAAATTAAAAAATTTGACTCAATACTCACTGCAGTGAGTAACAGAGAGCGCATTTTCTCGTCGACGAAAACTTGAAGTCACGGACGGACAGACAGACGGACAGACAGACGGACGGACATGGCGAGCACAATAGTGCATTTTTCCCGTAAATGAGAAAATGCGCTAAAAATACTTCAAATGAGGAAAAAAGAAAATCGAGAATCACCTGAAGAAAGGGAAGTTCGAGTCCGCTTGATAGTAGAGCAGCAGCACAGGCGTGTCGTGATGTGGTCTCTGGGCCGCGAGACACGGCAGAGACACCGTCCTGTCTACCAGAGACTCTACCACCGTGTCTCCGCCTCCTGAGGATAAAACAATGAAAACATTTTAACGGAAATATAATGGACAGTCTCCACCTATATAGCATTTTAAATGACAATACTTAGAATTTAATAATCAATGAAAGCAATGTACCAACTAATAGTTTGTAACGGTGCAGTGAATGTGCCTTCACACTTTAATTTTAAACATTCACGTTGATGTATTGATTAATTCGATTATTAACTTTGGGAAAACATTTCGTCTTAAGATTAGATCAGATTTTATGTTCAGAATTTTAAATTTTAGATTATTAAACATTTCATGCTATTTGGGCCAGGTCATTGAACTAACTGATATATTAATAAGATCGTAAATTTCACTGCTTATTCGGCTGAAGAGAAATCGTGAAGTGTGAACGCGGTCACTACAAAGTAACCAGCGCAGAAGAGTGGCTGTTGGCAGTTACTATCAAGTGGTCAGTTTGGCCGTTGGCCGTCAATAGCAAGTTGCCAGCATGGCAGTCTGGCAGTTGGCCGTCGCAACCAAGTGGCCAGGATGGCAGCCTGGCTGTTGGCCATCGCAACCAAGTGGCCAGCATGGCAGCCTGGCTGATGGCCGTCGCAACCAAGTGGCCAGTGTGGCAGCCTGGCTGATGGCCGTCGCAACCAAGTGGCCAGTGTGGCAGCCTGGCTGTTGGCCGTCGCAACCAAGTGGCCAGCAAGGCAACCTGGCTGTTGGCCGTCACTACGAAGTGGCCGCTTGTTTCGCGCTGTGTTGTCTTAGCGGCCTATCGAGACTCATGGTGTTTGCTCACACATATTGGATTCCAAGCCTGGCCCATAAATATAGACTGTCCAATGACACCGATGGTGTATGCGCTCGGGCAGTCGTTTAGAATAACTGGAAATTCAATAATTTATTACGTACAGTATGTCGGAAATTTATTTTAACTTTTTGAGTTTTTAAGTCCTAATTAATGATAGATTATTCCTAATTCTTTTGAACTGATGAATTAATTAGTTTTCCATCGATTCAAGATTCACCGTACCTACTTTTACTGGGTCTAAATAAACAATAAAAATTAATTCATAATAAAAAAAACAGAGTTTGTTATAGCTAATCATCATTAAAGAATTACTTGGGTTAAATAGAAGATTATTCTTGTAGCATCCTTTCTTATGAAAATAGGATGTCCTTATTTATGTATCGCAGAGGAGCGCATTTGTGTGTTTTCGTCCATAGCTAACCATACTTGTCTGTTAACTCTCAAAATCATTAACGCAGCAACCATTTTGGCCACTCAAATCTTCCCTGCAGGGTTAAAAATATCTTAAAAAACCAACGCTACCGCCTTTAGTAGCTGAAAGTCTTTCGTCCCCAAGCCAAAACCCTTTCCATGTATCGGAAATGCCGGCCGCGAGCAGCCCGCCCAGAACTAAATTGAGAGGAAACGCTGCCGCTGCATCGTCATTGCACAGCTCGAAAGCGAACGCCACCGAAACTGTTGGAAGGTTCCCAATCTCAGTGTTGTTTTTAAAAGGCCTTCTTTGATCCTCGACCAGCACTCGATACTCCTTTGAGTTGATGGGATGTTCCGAAGTGCTTCGTTCCAGCCTACGCTCTGCCGAGACTTATTTTGAAGCTTTTAAATGGACAGAGACTCACAAAAACGCGAGGTGGAGGAAACAGGTGCAAATGGATGCGCGCATAAGTAAATCAGTCAGCAAATGGAACTTAATTAAGTTTTTTTTCGGAAAACAATATTTTAATACTAGTGATTATCGATGATATTTACAACAGAAATCAGGAAGATATTTTGCATTCAGTTGTCTCTGAAAACCTAAAGTTGAAATAATTTTAGCTATATGATGAAAAACTCCTTGGGTGTCATGTTGGAATTTCATGATTTTCAATACGCATGTTTTTTATATTCTGAAGGCAATTTCCGTTTTTTTTTGTCGCTATTTATACGTTCGTAATTTCATCTAAAGCAAATTAGAAGGTAAGTGAAGCCAGGAAATTTATTTTCTGGTGATTCTATATTAAGGCGGGTAATTTGGTACAAACAATAAAAATTTTTTCCATTTATTACAATTAGAGTATAATAATATCTTGCTCAGACAAATTTTCAAACTGTGTCATTATTTTTTCAGAGGCATTATTCAAAGAGTGAACGGACCATATTTTCAAATAGACACACTTTTTACCCATAGGACGGCCGGAGAGCGGCCTTTCCCTGCGTCAACATGCAAATGCAATATCGATAATTGGACAAAGGCTCACTCATTTCTCTAAGCGCAGTCGTCTAGTTAATCCCGTTCTCTAATTCGTACTTCATCAAAGACTGTTTTTCATCTCTTTAGCTTCAGGCCGCAATGACTGCCTTGTCATAAAACCTTAACCTGAGGCAAGATTCATGAGGGCTTGTCTCGAAACTAACGGCAGTTTGACTTTGCACACATTTTGGAAAACTCAACGACTGTAATCAGATAACTTTGGTCGCTATCATAGCTTGCAAACTTCTTTTAAATTAAGTTTGAGGAAGAGGAGTGGAAGGTGAACTTCGTCCTGGCTGTTTAGATTAAGAGGCTGTCTCAAGAAATTGCAAGACAGATGCTTTATATTTCCTCGAACAAAGTTTGCCGTACGTTTGTTTTTAAGAAAATATTTTAATGTTTTCTAATAATTCTAAATTTTCTGAATTGCACTTCTTACCACATTGCTATATGCAATTTAATTTGATTTTATGCAGTTTTAAATATAAATGGCATTACAATAACTCATTTTACAGTAATAAAAGAGAGCGCCAAATTTCATTGTGGAAAACAAGCATGGAACCAAAAACAAGGAGCGTGGATTCGATGGATGACCAAAGTTAAATGGAAATAGAAATCTTTCATTATTAAATAAATTTCAGCCTAATTCTGATAAATTCATATTTTTTACTTGTTTTTTGTTAGTTTGAAGATCGATATTTTCCTGTGAAATGTGGGAGTTACTTTCCCTTGACTAGATTGCACGTACTTGGTCATTAAAAAAAATGTATAATGAAATGTCAGGAGTTAATACCGTAGACCATTCTCGTGTTTGTTGTAGTCACTACAATGTCACTACAATGTTACAAATGGGCTTATTGTAGTCACTACAATAAGCCAACTTGGTTACAACGACTTGTTATCAACGAGTTCAAGACGTTCAAAAGAAAAACGACTTGACCATTCGAGAATTCCTTTTCGTTGTTTTTTAATATATTTTTTAGATATTTATTTTTACTTATTCTTCTGATAACAATTATGAGAGTGTGAATGGGTTGCGTTTATTCACAACTAAACGTATTGACTTGTGGATGAGGTTATTTATGAGCTTATTTATAAGTTTATACACAACTTGACTTATTGATTTGCGGGTAACGTAACTGAACTTTCGATCTATTAACAATGCATCTATTAATAAATCTTGTTGAAGAGGATATGAGCAAGTGGACATAAAACTTTTAGCTGTAAAATTTGTTTTCCTATATACTGGACATTCCCATCGTTCAATTTCTTGCCAATCACAATTTACCTCTCGCAAAGCTTTTGGCAGCTGAAAGAAAATGAATTTTCGAATGGTTCGGTCGTCTTTCGAACGTCTTTTAAGAGTGATAAATAGAATAAATTTTATATAGTTTCAAAATGCATGTATCTTGGAATACTAATCTATAAATTATTTGCACATTCGGATGGAAAGAGCAGAAAATTGGTGTATTGCATCCGTCATATCAGCAAAACGTCGATCTAGAATTTCTAGCAATTTCGAAAATTTTGCTTTTGCTACGCGAAGAAATTTATGAAAACTAAATTTGGCACGATATTCTCAAAAAAAAAAAAAGTAGGTTAACAATTTATTTGAGATTATGTCAATAAAACGAACTGACAGGGAAAACGAAATAACACTTCACGAATCAAAGCGTTCTACTTGTGATAAAAAAGTTTTCAATTGAATTCAATATTAATTTGAAAAATCTGCGTTATTTTGAATATTGAGTTAGACACGTTTTTAAATTCACAGTATTCAAATTTAAATCCAGCTTTTATACCTGCTTGCATTTCTACGAGTACGTTCAGCAATAGAGTTTTGAGATTCAGCAAAATTGATTGGCCAAAAAACGTGCAACTGCAGAAATTTTACTCGCTCTATTGCATTTTATTCGTTCAAAATGGAAATTCTCGGTAAAGGTTACGTTTCCCCCAAAGAAAAAACACCAAGAAAAACGGACCTTGATCTATCTATACCTTGATGCCAGATAATTCTTCAAAAAACACTATTGAAACCTCTCTATTATCTCTACTGACCTATTCTTAGAACGAGCTACTGGCAAATGGTCTTTCAAAATACACGACCTATTTTGAACTTCTAATTGAACCTCAGCTAATAAACGGACAGTTGATGAGGTTATATCGAACCGCATATGTCGAGCTGGACCAACTGAATTAGGTCATTTCAATAAACGTCCATACTGAACTCATTGGACACCGACGCATGTTGAGGTCCACTAATGAATCGTCCAGAGGGATTTTACTATTCACGCTGGGTCTGTGGCTTACATGGTAATGAATATTTGCTGGCATTACCTGCACTCAGAACACTAAAATGAGAGACCGACAGACATGAAGCCATCGGAACATCGCAACTATGCCGGGTTTTCTGGCTATAATTAGCGTGCAGGTTAGTGTGCCTCGCAGCTCAGCTCGATTTGCAGTTAAAAAATTCACAGGTTTGAATTTCAGTCCCTCGACACTGTGTACGCCCAATTTAAATTTCCAGTGGGGTAAGAAGTCGACTGGATGGCATTTTCACGTTTCCTATGACTGATGCACTGGATTTGACTTCCACGCTGTATCGACCAAATATTATTCTAGATATTTTTTTCCGTGAGCTGCCGCTCTGCTTCTGTGGAAAAGTGAACCGAAAAGCTCTGAGTATTTCAAAACACAAATTTTTCTTTGAGTTAGTTTGGAAAGCGCTACTTTTTAGTAATTATATAATAAATAACCCCCCT